GTGAACCAGACTATAAACATGTTTATTTCTGCTTTAAGGACTGAGATATTATTATGGGGTGTGTATGTGACTTCTGGGGCTTTTGCAGCCAGCCTCTTGTGGCCACTCGAGGAACTGCAGCTTTTTTGCACTTCTGCATTGGCTGGGCTGCCGCTCCTTGTAAACGGACGTAGCAGAGCTCCACCAAATGAAGAATCAAGAGAGATTTAGTTTGGAATTTAGACAGAATAAATCAAATCAGGTTAATTCTCACAGAGGGTAGTGACCGCACTTTTTTAAAGAATAAACTTCAGTACCCTCAGTTATCTAACAGGAAGTCTACTCTGATCCTCCGCTTCACTGATGTTATATTACAATATTACAATTCACTTAGCAGACGCTTTTATCCAAAGCGACGTACATCAGAGAGTAAGTTATGTGTTCTCTTTTTTTTTAATGATTTTTCTTTAGGAAAATATCGAGGCCAAAAGAGAGACTTATGGGAACCATGACGGCATGGTGCTTCTCCTGGACTGCCTGAAGAGACGGGAGAACTGGCCAGAGGAATTTATCGCAGCGATCGAGGCGTGTCAGCATACGACGATCGCAGCCGAGATCAGAGCCGAGTACGACGCTCTGAGAGGAGCCAGCAGTGAGTCAGCAAGTCAGTTACTCATCACGTTGACTCACAGTGCAGTAATGAGTAATTTTTATTTCCCTTTTTTAAATTAATTTCATGCAAAGACTGGACAGTATTCATCTTTATATGATCTCTATGATCTAAGTAGGATATGAGGCAGGGCTTTGTACTGTTTCTCTAAATTAACAATATTTCAACGATTATTTCATGCTCTGTTCTCTCTGGTGAACATCAGAATACATTATGTTCTACTCAGGGTGAGACATTTGAATCATTTAATTACATAATATCCACAATACTGATCGTACAAAGGTTATAGTTATGGTCTTTTATTGCCTCAAACATTTAAAGGAAGAATGTGCGACCTTTTGATCCAGTAGATATCGCCTTTGAACTTCAGCATGAAACCAAAACAAACTGCTGTTAGGCCACGCCTCCTCCATACTGAAACCTCCGCTCTCCCCCACTCGCACACAGGAGTTATCAATTAGAACGCACCATAATTAAGCACAATGAAACGCAAGCTCGAGCTGCAATCACCTGTGGCCTGCATTGTTGTGTTAGCATGCTAATGTTAGCACTCTTTGGTTAGCTGGTAGCTTCACATTGTTGTGTTAGCATGCTAATGTTAGCGCTCTTTGGTTAGCTCGTAGCTTCACATTGTTGTGTTAGCATGCTAATGTTAGCGCTCTTTAGTTAGCTCGTAGCTTCACATTTCATGTAAACTGACACAGAATGAGCGTGATCTAAAAACTCTTACTAACATCCAAATAATCAGTGAGTATGTTCTTCTTCTTCTCTCTAGTTCTTGACTAAAACAGCTTTTATACACAAGGGGAGGAGCCGGCCGTCCCGTCCATGTAAACACGGCTCTGACAACAACACAGCCAGCGGGACTCGAGCTTCTCCCTCATTGTAGACAGTCAGGACTCAGAGACACATTTACACAGGACAGACTTTATGATTTATTGATGTGGAACATGTTGCACATTCTTCCTGTCCACAGTCATCTCTGTTAACACACTCACACAGAAAGTTTAGAGGGAAGCAAGTCCAATAGGGTTTGGTGAGTTGAAGCAAAACAGTGCAAGCTGCAGGGAAACCCCCCCCCCCAACTCTGAGCGGACATGTTGTGGGCGTGATCTGTGGGAGGGTTGAGATCGGAGCTTTGAATTCCAAAACAATTGGTCGACCTGGACTAGCGAGCATGATAAACATCGTTAGAGCAAAAAAAAAACAGACAAATAAAACAGTCACACATAACAATGACATGGAAACGATGTTTACAGGACTAAATTATTGAAGTGCTGATTGGTCTAACATCAGAGTCTGACATATAAAGGACTAATAAAATGAGTAAATGAGATCTGACTTCATGAATGGTTTCAGGGTTAGTTGTAGTTTTTTAAGTGTTCACAACAGTTTAAAATAACATTGTCTGCTTTGCCCCAGATTCAAACCCCAGCTCCCCTCCAACGACTGTCGTCCGGGCACACGTCCATCCAGCACCATCTGCCGTTCATCCGCCCGTGCCAGAGAGCGGTGCAGACAGTCCCGCTGCTGTTTCTCCGCCAGCTGAAGCAGCAGCTGCTCCTCCTCCAGAGCCGGCCGCCCAGCCTCGCCCCCTCTACGAATCCCCGCGCGGCCACAAGCCCCGCAGAGCTCAGCGGCCGAAGTTCCAAGGATGTTCCCCCACCCGAGCCCGTCACCGAGCCTCCAAAGGCGGCTCAGATTGAAGTGGCACCTCCTCCATCGACACTCCCCCTTCTCCTGCAACGCTGCACTCTCAGGTGGCCGGAGACCTTTCGCCTCGGAGGGAGATTCATTTTCAGCGGGAGCCCGAGGAGAACTCTGAATCGGACGTCCAGGAGCTCTCCGGCGATAACGAAGTGATTCCTGATGAGGCCGGCGCAGGAAAGGCAGGCGAGGTGTTGATCGACTCTGTGGAGGCTCCTGAACCGCCCGGTCCTGTGGAGCAGAGTGAAACTGAAAGTCCATCCTGCTGGACCTCCTCCAAACAACAACAACCACCACAGAGGTCGGGCCACCGCGGAGTCCCTCTCCAACTGAGAACGACTCAGACGTGACTGAAGGTGCTCCCGTCACTACGATGACCCCAGACAAGCCTCCGGTCCAGGACACCACCCCTCCTGCTGCGGCCCTGGAGCCTGAAGAGACATCTAAACCTCCTACTAAACAAGTGAGTCCTGAAATATGTTCGTTTAACATTTTGTCGTTTAAAAATAAAAATTACAAATATGGTTATTAACTCGGTGATAAACAAAACATCTGAAAAGTACTCTGGTACTCACTTCACCCCTTTAACCGAGTTCCTGCATAAGACAAGTCTTTTAGATGCATTCATGAGTTATTTTAGCTTTTTCGAGGGGCTTAATATATTTATTTGACTTTTCTACTTCGCATAAATGATCTCTCTGTTGACATCATTTTGTTTATACCGGAAAGGTCATAGATGATTCAGCAGTTAAAGAAACTTTTCAAGGTACATCAGACATCAGTCTTACATTGTGATGAAGCATTTTTAGGTTAATTATTCTCTTTGCAGTATAAAGCATCCACTCTCCACCCAGAAGGCAAGGCAAGTTTATTTATTCAATTCAAAGTGCTTCACATAAGACATCAAAAGCATCATGACAGACGAAAGAAAAATCACTGAAATTATAAAATCTGAAAATATGTTCAAATAAAAAAAGTAAAAATAGTTAAAAGTTACAGTGCAGAGTCATCATATTAAAATTGTTTATTTAAAGGCAGCTGTAAGCTGGTGTGTTTTCAGCCTCGATTTTTAAAGAGCTGAGAGTTTGTCCGGTTTAACCAAAATCTCAAAATCCAGTCAGAGGACAGAGTCTCTGCAGACACGGTCACCACAACACGTGTGGAGGCCCTGAGTGATGATCGAGCTGCTTTACTTCTGGATGCTTTACTATTTCATTTTGTAGGAAAAATGCTTCTGACTGTTCCTTTCATCACCTTTATGTGTTGTATCTATTTCACCTGCAGACGGTTGAAAGCAGCCCTCAGAGAGAAACAGCAGCTTCAGTCTCCCCCCTGCACGCTGCTGCTGCTGCTGAGATGGACCCCCCCCTCGGTGACGACGGCAGCGAGTTTCTGAGCAAACCCTGCGACCTCATCAGCGTCTGTCCAGAAAGTGATGCCCCCCCTACCATGCGTGCACCCAGCCCACCTGTGGAGCCGTACTCGGGTGACAGTCAGCGTCTGGAATTCAGTGAAGCCGCCCCCGACACCTCACCGGACCCTCCTGCATGCTCTGCTGTCAGCTCCGCCTCTGCAAATTCAGTCTCTGCACCGCCGTGCATGGAGAACGGCTTTGCTGATAACCACAACGAACCAGAGGAGAACCAATACGATTCTCCTTCTCTGAGTTTGGGAATGCAGGAGGTGTTTGTGAACGTGGGGCATGTGTCCGGGGAGCCGTCTATCCTCAACCTAGCCGGCCAAAACTCCCCACCACCACCACCTCAAATCGTCAACGGTGAAGCAGCCAAAGAGATCAAATCCGCCCCACTGGCATCCACAGACCCTTCTGATACCACATCGGATGTAAAGACCCCTTCAAATGAGACTTACAACCCCCCCTCTGAGTCTGCACCGGCTGATATTTCCACAGAGCTGAAGACGCCGCAGGACTCAGAGGAGCAAACGCCCTCTCGCACGCTGCCCGCTAATACAAAGTACATTGTGGCTGCAGGAGTGGGGGCCATGGCGCTGTTCATGGCGTGGAAGTTTAAGAATTAAGGGGATTTAATGGCTTTTTAAAGGAAGAGAGGATTAGGCTTTAAGGGCTTTGGAAGAAGAAGGATCTTAGAGGGTTCTGTGCCTTATTGTAGTCACAGGCTGGGACGGCGTTGGGCAGCTGTTTAATAATTACCCATCGTGGTTATAATAATAATAGCTGACTGGCCCGACCTTTGATCGTGTCATAAATAACACCTCAGTTGTTAAAGGCTTTATATGTGATTTTTTGATCCAGCAGATGTCGCCCATGAGCACCAGCATGAAACCAAAACAACTCGCGCTGCATTGTTGTGTAGTCAGAAAACTCGGAAAACACAATCTACAATGGGTGTAACACCCGAGTCCCACTGTCTGTGATGTTTTCAGAGTTTTCAGAGTCCTATCTTCACTTTGTTTACATCGCCCGGACGGCCGGCTGACTCCTCCCCTCGTGTATAAAAGTTGTTTAATTGAGGGACTAGAGAAAAGAAGAATAACATACTGTACTCACTGCTTAACTGTGTTTCTAGATCACGCTCATTTCAGGTAAATTTACATGCAGTGTGAAGATACCAGCATAATAAAGATCGCTAGCATTAGCATGCTAACACAACAATGCAGCGCCAGTTGTTTTGGTTTCATGCTGGTGCTCAAGGGCGACATCTGCTGGATCAAAAAAAAATGCATATAAAGCCTTTAAGTTGAACTGTGTTTCATGATTTTACTGTTGGAAACCAAATTCATCCTTTTTATTTTTTTAGTCGGGGACTTGATTTGGTCCGGGGTTGGGATCTCAGGTTGTTTATTGATGGCGCACTTACAACAGTGATGTGGTTTGTGACGGCAGAACAAAAGCTCCGCGCTCATGATGGAAATGTTTGCACTCGTCTGATCAGCACTTTGAAGATAAGACTGTTGGCGTCCATCGAGGGAGGATAAGTCTGCCAAGGACCTGATTACTTTAACTGGATATAGGCTGCAGAGGATCCTCTTGATAGTGGGACAATAGGCTTTTAATGATGTGAGTGCATCGTCTGTATTTATTTGTACATACATATAGAAACATATATATAGATATCTGAATATGTATTTTAATAAGGAGCGATGTGTCATTAGCATTCCAAAGCTTCCACAATGTCTGAATTGTCTTAGAAAAGTATGCACTCGAAGAATCAGTGAGCCAAAAAAACTGCACTTTTTTTTATTCATCTTTATTCCCAAAGGAATCTGTGTCATAGGGATGCACCAATCAGACTCTTTCAGGCTTCAGGGGGTTTTCTGAGCTGCATGTGTGAACGCAAACAAGACGAATCTTCCACTCAGACTTCACCCGGAGTTTCTTTTTTTTCTGCAGAACGTGCGAGTGAGCTGATTGTGAGAACACAGCAGGATATAATCAGGAGAATTCACCTCGATTGAGTGGGAGGGGGGTGGTGACATTTGGATTCTGTGATCGGTGCACGATTCGTAGACTGTCTGCATGTCACCTCTACCATCTCCGTGCTCTACTGAACCTGCTGCATTATGTTTCCTGTTCTCCAGGATGTTCTTCTCCACTCTTTGGTCGATATTGTGATGCCATCAAACTAAACGCAGCATTGATAGAAAGGCAAATATTCTCAGTATCACGCTGTTGTGCCTTCCATTGATACCCACCCCCACAGTTCTGCTGTCTGATAAGGATGTTCTCCCGCTGTGAGGTGTATGTGTGAACAACCAGATCAGGAGGATTTTAAGTGGCAGTCTGCCTGCTGTGTGCCTCACTGTGAGAAGAAGAAAACATCAGTGTTCTCTCTGAGGCTTTAAAAAAAATGGTATCTGTCTGATTTGTGCACTGACTGGCGTTCTCTCTCTCCCTGAGCTGATATCACATTTAAGCCTGTAGTAGATCCATCGGACATGTTGGCATAGGAAGTGTGAAATAACACCGAGCCGCAGACACTTAAGCTCCCTCGCTGCTGCAGCAGCAGGGGAAGCTCTGTGCCTCCGTCTCTGAGCAAAATGGCAACCTGACATGATGCTAACCCCCTGATGTATTATGCACATGTGGATTAAAACATGGATTTTTTTTTTTTTTTTTCAAATATATCCCCAGGATTTGTCCCATCGTAATCGATTCCCGACCCGGGACTAAAGTCAACATCTGATTGGTGCATCTCTCTCGTTCGTAGTCCAGACTACTGGCTCACAATCCCTTTAAAACACATCATCGACAGTCCTGTTTCTCTCTCAGCTGGAACACAAACTGCATAATTCACTGAGCTTTTGCGCTTCTGTTTTAATGTGTGAAAAGAAAATATGAACATGTAGTATGTGTAAACATAACTTAGATTTATATACAAGGAGATAACAATTGTGACTAAAACCTTTGCTGCACTTATAGGTCCTTAAAGAACCCATCTTGAAACAGCAGCCTAGTTAAGCGACTGCTTTCAGACTTTTATCCTGTGTAAATATTGAGATTACATTTTATTTTTCCATTGGTTTTTTTTCTCTTCCTTAAAAAAGAAACAAGTGTCATGTTCTGTAAGATAAGATAATAATGTTTATGAAAGGGGTTCATTCATAATAATGTTTTGCACATGTTCAGAAGATATTTGATCTACTAAAATGCTCTGCAGATCAAACGTCAGTGGACATGTGTAAATTGTAATCTTAGTTCAAGTTTTAGCTCAAGTTTGAAGCACTTGTCTCTCGCTATGCTCTGGAAAATCACATTAATAAACCTGAAGCTAAAGAATTTATTGTGAACGTGCATGCTGAATTACTTTCATGGAAACCAAAAGCTTGTATATATATTTTTTAAAGGTTTATTTTTCTGCTTTTTATGCCCTCATTAGAGTCAGGATAGTGGATAGAGTTAGAAATGAAAGAGGGAGGGAGTGAGAGGAGTGTGGCTCCGACCCGACCTGGGGCTTGGACTCAAACCTAGACAGCACGCCTGGAAGACCTCAGCCTCCGTACATGGGTCGCTCGCTCTAGCCACCAGGCTACCAGCGCCCCCTAAAAGCTTTTATTAACTCTACATGATCCCAGCTTTCTCCTGTAGCTTTGGTCCCACAGAGCAGGGTTGGCATCACATCTTTAACATAAAGCCATATAAAAGCATTTTGGTAAAAAGTGTTCGGTGTATGTTCGGTTTGATATTAAATGAATCTGTACCTGTATGTGCAGAAGAATGACAACTTGGAGTTAGATTGAATGGAGTAAAATGTGTAGTAACACAGCATCTGTTGCCATCGGCATTCATTTCTGTGAAGAGAATTGTCCTTGTGAATTGGAAAGTATGGAAATTCATTCATTTTTAATTTGTTTTAACTGGCTGAATGATTTTTTTTTTTAGAACTAATAGTGATGGATTGCAGCCTCGGCCCTGCAGAGGCTTTATAGTGATGGCCTAGATGGGCATCAAAGAATATATAAACAAGAGGCATTTAATTTAAATCAGCTTAAATCAGCCTGTGCAATGAATACGTGTCTGAGACTTGCATGCAGAAGGCAGAAACCTTTGTATGGAGCAATGAGGATGATTTGGCAAGAATTACACACATGCACAAACAGGATCTGTGGACATGCATTAATGGAGAGATTGTCAGAGTGGGGCTCCTCCACAGGGAGCGTGCCAGAGTTGTTGTGGGTTCGGTGCCTTGCTCGAGTAATCCAGCAACCAGACCGACTTCCATAATTTAGTCCTCACTGGGACTTGGACCAGTGCCCCTCTGGTTCCCAAACCTAGTCCTTACAGACTGAGCCTCTGCAACCCAAATATATTCATGAAATCTAATCTGTAATCTCTGGCAAAATGTCCCTGTGTTGTGTTTTTGTATTGTGTTTGGTCTTTGTCTCTGTATTGTAATATAAATGTAAATTACAAATGAATAAATAAAGGGTTTGGTGGTATTTACAGTGGTTATATACTGAGAGATTGTGTACATGTACTTCTGGTAAGATGTACAGTGTTGCTCCTTTCATTTTTGACGTGAATCCTTGCATACTAAAAAAAAAAAAAATGTGACATCAGCCTTTTTAAGCTGTTTTCTGCCTGGCTGGCGCATTCGCATTCTGATTGGCTCTGGGGTCCCTCAATCATACCTTAGCCCCGCCCACCCCTGTCTTGACAGCGAACATAAAAAGGACATGTACACCGTCCGTTTATAACGACACAGCTACTTAGCTAGCTAATTAGCTAGCTCACAGGACCCGGGGCTCAATTGTCCGGATAAATCATTGACATTCAATGGTTTAATTTATCACAAACTACAGCATTTATGTAGTTATTTGATCATTTAAATGGCGTTCAATGGCCACCAACGCGACGATGAAGGTATCGACGAAGACGAAACGCCCACGAAGCAGCCGCGGTCCGACAAGGAGAAGCCCAGCGATGAGGCGTCTGCGTCCGCGGGAAGAGCCGCGTCTGACCGGCGGACCTCCAACTCGACGGCGAGGCTTCGGAGTGACTCGGTGAAGAAGACAAGGCCGCGTAGGTGTAACCGTTACTTAGCGTGGGCTGTGTGTATTTACTGGGATGGAGAAAATAAAATAAAATAAAATAAAGGCCTTCTGCACAAAAAGGCAGTCAATGATTATAAAGACTGTTATAATTATTAAATCTGCTGCATTAATTCCTCAAATAAAAATGTTACGAATAAAAGGTTAAATAAACGTCTTCGTTGGTGTAACAATGTCATATCATGATTTCAGTAAATATCCAGGACCCGTCTGCAACAAGATGGCGTTCCGGGTACACACTGTTCTGTTTCACTGATGGAGCTGCCTGTCATTATGAGGCATCACATTCATCTATTGTCCTGTTCAGTCAATAAGCAAACGAAACAATACACCTCAGTGTTCCCGTGGGGACTCAGAGTGATGCTGCCTCCACAGTAGTATTAATAAATAATAATACAACAATAGAAACAAACACAATCCACATGTAAACAGATGCACACACAAATTCAAACCACAAAACACAATCATTTTGCATGACCATTTTGCACAAATCAGCATAAACACAACATAAGATAAAATATAGAAACATAATTACCCTATTTTACATCCTATGCAGATGATAAAAACATAATTCATAATATTGGTCAACACGGGTACAAAAGTTGAAGAGAAAAAATTGTGCATTTTTTTATTGTGCAATTCCGCCCGATACTCAATCTACTCTGTAGATTTCACAAAATCATCTGTATGCAACTGTTCATTTGTTGTGCCAAATCAATTTAATTCTGGCATCTAGTGCGTCAAACTACAGATTCAGAGAAGAGTTTTTTATATGAGGCAGATTACGTAATCTGTGGAACAAACTCTGAATAGTCATGAAACAAACATCGGAATGGGCAATCAGCAAAATCGTTATTTCTAACAGCACAATCGGCCGTGATCTTCCCAATCGGTGCATCTGTAATTCTGACCGTTTAAAAAATATGTTCAACTAATTAACAATACCAAGTCCACATCTACATATAGATGGCGCTTGACAGCCTGATAAAACCAAAATATGATGGGCGGCGGACAGCCAAGCGGTTATGTTGTGCGCCCCATATAGGGAGGCTATAGTCCTCGTTCAAATCTGGGTTCAAATCTGACCTCTGCCGCTTTGCTGCATGTCGTCCCCCTCTCTCTCCTCCCAGCGTTTCCTGTCTCGCTTTAGCTGTCCTATCCAATAAAGGCTAAAAAAGAAAAAAAAAACTTTAAAAAGATAAATATTGGGGCGCTGGTGGTGCGTTGGTTAGTGCGCGCGCCCCATGTATGGAGGCTGTCGTCTCAAGCGGGGGGCCGGGTTGACATCCCACCCATGGCTCCTTTCCCGCATGTCATTCCCCTCTCTCTCTCTCTCTCTCTCCTGATTTCCGACTCTATCCACTGTCCTATCTCTCAAATAAAGGCACTAAAAAGCCCAAAAATAAATCTTAAAAAAAAAAAAGAAAAGATAAATATATATCTCGTTCAACGTCATCCATCCCGTGTCTGCGTAAAAAATGCGTTCTTTGCTGAACACAAATAATCAACAAGGTGTTTTCAACTGTGTATCCCAAATATATCTGTAGGAGCTGACCTGGCTCCTCCATGCATGTACACTTTAAGGATTTAAATACAATTCAAAAATGTAAATATGCACGATACGTTGGTCGGTTACATTTTTTGCTTGCATTGTTTTCGATATTGCAGCTTTTCCCTGGTTCGGGATGGACATCGGAGGCACTCTTGTGAAGCTGGTGTACTTCGAGCCCAAAGACATCACAGCAGAGGAGGAGCAGGAAGAGGTGGAGAACCTGAAGAGCATCCGGCGCTACCTCACCTCCAACATCGCCTACGGGAAAACGGGCATCAGGGACGTGCACCTGGAGCTGCCCGACCTGACGCTGTGCGGCAGGACGGGCAACCTGCACTTCATTCGCTTCCCCACGCACGACCTCCCGGTCTTCCTGCAGATGGTTCGCAACAAGCACTTCTCCAGCCTGCACACCGCGCTCTGCGCCACGGGGGGAGGGGCGTACAAGTTTGAGTCTGATTTCCGCAAGGTGAGTCTGCAGTTGTTAATCTTTTTGTTTGCTTTTACAGGCTGAAGATGGACAGGGAGGAAAGACGAGGACACTTGGTCCTTTTAAGTGCTTCATTATTATCAAACTGAGTGATTGCACCTTTTATTTCAGGAAAGAAAACATCTGCATTGTTGTAAATTAAATTAAAACAGATTTATTTTTACAGTCAGACATGTTTCAGTCAGTAGTTATAATGAAGGTTCCTGTTTTCTTACCCCTCGGTCACACCCTTCCTGCCCCGGTTTCCTGCCTGTGTGTTCTCCTGACCACTTCCTGTCAGTGATGTTATCCTTGTTCTCTTTCCCTCTCACTCAAAACAAAGATGGCGGACCTGCAGCTCCATAAGCTGGATGAGTTGGACTGCTTGATTCGGGGAGTGCTGTACATCGACTCGGTGGTGTCCAGCGGCCCCTCTGAGTGCTACTACTTTGAAAACCCCACTGATCCGGATCTCTGTGCCCAGAAGCCTTACACACTGGAGAACCCCTACCCTCTGCTGCTGGTCAACATAGGGTCTGGGGTCAGCATCCTGGCTGTCTACTCAGAGAACAACTACAAACGAGTGACAGGGACCAGGTAATAATCAGTGATAAAGACTTACTGTGCACTCAGTGGCCATGTTGGGGAGTCAAATCTTTACTGATTTGTTGATGAGGAAGACTTCAGATTTTTCCGTCATGTCAAGAAAATTCTTGCAAAGATTAAACATATTCCGTAAACTCAACCTCTCATTAAAGGTCTCATATTCTGTAAAATCCACTTCCCCATGTTCCTCTAACTCTAACATGTGTCTCTAGTCCGTCCACAAACCCCCCAATGATGAGTAAAGTCCATCCTCTCCGTCTTGTGCCTGCTCCACTTTTCAGAAAATGTGTGCTCAAACAGGCCGTTTGGAGATTTTTCCTTCATGACATCACAAAGGGCAGTAGTCCCTCCCCCAGGTGGGTGACACTCCCACAGCTAGGTGTTTGTTCTGCCCTCTGAGTCTGCCTTCTCATCGTAAACAATAGGACATGGAGCGAGAAAGACCGAGACACTCAAGCCTTCCAGAGAGGGGGCGTGGTCAGACACAGCTCATTTACATATTTAAAGGTACAGACACAGACACAGCCTGTTCTGAGCAGGGCTGAAATAGAGGGGTTTATAGACATGATCAAATACAGGATCAGAGTGGATTTAGAACAAGAAACTTCACACACATGTTTTGAGGAGCTCTGACACTTATTTACACTGAAGAGGAGGAGGAGGATATGTCACCTTTAATAAGTTAAAGAATAAGCAAATTCTTCAAACATATTGGTTTGCATTGCACGTCAGTGGCCTCTCAGGTCTGCAGAAACAGAAAACATGTAAACTGCACACAGGCTGAGGTAAAAGAGATATAAGCTCTTAATTAGCTTGACTTCGTTTTAAAGTATTTATTTCTTCTTTGGTTTGTATGCAGACATGGCTTCTCTGTCTGGTGACTTTGAAAGAGACTCGGGAATGCTTGGTTGCCCTCAACATAAAGCGACTTCTTTGTTCGAAGGGAGAAACACAAAATTAATGCTTTAGACTTGATGCTCTAAAACATGCTTTCTGAAGTGGTCAGGTGTAATTAATTTTAGACCCAGGCCAGCAAGCATCTAAAAACTCTAGAGCGGTTCAATTTACACAGCCGATTAAACATCCATATGTCCCCTCTGTGTGTTTCCAGCCTCGGCGGTGGGACCTTCCTGGGCCTGTGTTGCCTGCTGACCGGCTGCTCTACTTTCGAGGAAGCTCTAGAAATGGCTTCTCAGGGGGAGAGCACCCGCGTGGACAAGCTGGTCCGGGACATCTACGGAGGAGACTATGAGAGGTTTGGGCTGCCAGGCTGGGCTGTAGCCTCAAGGTGCGGTTTACAGCAGCTTCTCTTTTCCCCCTGCACTGTAGGACAGTCACAGAATGTAAACAGCAATGTATGTAGCGTCCACATATATCTTAAATGCAGAATTTTATTGGGATCATGCAACAGAAGTTGCTTGTTTTTTTGTTGACATAATTTGTCTTGTGTTCTGATTTGATAGTTTTGGCAACATGATGTCCAGAGAGAAGAGGGAGTCGGTGTCCAAAGAGGACCTGGCCAGGGCGACACTGGTCACCATCACCAACAACATCGGCTCCATCACCAGAATGTGTGCCCTCAATGAGGTTAGTTATAAAAGGGTGGAGGTGTCACAATCCTCTCTGACAGCGGTGTCTTATTGGCATCTGTGCTTTGCTGGTAAAAAAACAAAAAAAGAGTCCAAGGTGGAGAAAGGGAGGCCATGAGGCAGCGGGAAGGAAATATTCAGTCATTTTGATCCTTTATATACAAATCAACAGTCAAGTAAAAATGTTGTTGGAGCTTGTCAGAAAAGCCGACATGAAAATAGAGACACTAAATACTTAAGCTGCCGTTCCATGAAAGGTGTCAGAACATATGGTATTTGGTATTACAGCTGCTTGTTGTTAAGATGAATATATTAAGACGGGCTTTAGATAAGACGGCGCTCCTCCTCTGCGGTGTTCCTGCTGTCACTTTCCTCTCTGCGTTCAGCCTCTTTACGGTGCTGCCTTGTGGCGTCTTGATCAAGCAGCATTGTACAGGGCTATGAAGGCGTAGAGGAGGTCATCTGTGTTACGCTTGAGCAAGCGTGGGGGGGGGGGTTACAATTTAAATAAACTCTTATCTACTCTATATACTTAAAGCTTAACGGTCGACCAACACGCTGTACATTTGAGTTAAACATCAAGAAATGTAAATCAGAATCAGCTTTATTGGTCAGGTATGCTTAAATACACAAGGAATTTAACTTTGGTGAACTGTGCTCTCTTTGTTAAAAAGGTATAATATTAAATATCAACAGAAAATAAACAAATAAGCAAAGACTAATATGTACAAGGCTAAATAGGATAATAGTGCAGTGGTTAGTAGTGCAAAGTAATGAAGTAAACATGAGGTCGTTTTTTACAGTATTTACATTGTAATAGAGCTGCCAGGACACAAATGAAGTTTCTCTTTACATGAGGGATGCATGTTGACATAAAAAACACAAGAAAAATGAAAAATGTAAACTATAAAAATCCCGATATTCGGGGTGTAGATGGCCTAGCAGTTTGGTCACGAATAATCTCTCTCCCCCTCCCTCTCTCTCTCTCTCTCTCTCTGTCTCTCTCTCTCTCTCTCTCTCTCTCTCTCTCTCTCTCTCTGTCTCTCTCTCTCTCTCTCTCTCTCTGTCTCTCTCTCTCTGTCTCTCTCTCTCTCTCCCCCTCTCTCTCTCTCTCTCTCTCTCTCTCTCTCTCCTCTCTCTCCCCTCTCTCTCTCTCTCGCTCCCTCTCTCTCCCCTCTCTCTCTCTCTCTCTCTCTCTCTCTCTGTCTCTCTCTCTCTCTCTCTGTCTCTCTCTCTCTCTCTCTGTCTCTCTCTCCCTCTCTCTCTCTCTGTCTCTCTCTCTCTCTCTCTCTCTCTCTCTCTCTCTCTCTGTCTCTCTCACTCTCTCTCTCTCCCTCTCTCGCTCCTCTCTCTCCCCTCTCTCTCTCTCTCTCTCTCTCTCTCTCCCCTCCCTCCCTCTCTCTCTGTCTCTCTCTCTCACTCTCTCTATCCTTCTCGCTCCCTCTCTCTCCCTCTCTCTGTCTCTCTCTGTCTCTCTCTCCCCCTCCCTCTCTCTCTCTCTCTCTCTCTCTCTCTCTCTCTCTCTCTCTCTCTCTCTCTCTCTCTCTCCCTCTCTCCCCCAATTTCCTACTCCAATGTCCTATCAAATAAAGGCAGAAAGATCTTTACAGATATGTAGTTATTGAAGAAGATATTTAAACAGATTGATTAAGTGCTTTTTAAAAACCGTCTCTTCAGGATAGTAAAAAGCCGCCGTCTGACTGTTCATATGGTGTCAAATATGAAACTAACACATCACTCCTCTCTCAATTCTAAGAACATCGAGAGAGTTGTGTTTGTGGGAAACTTCCTGAGAGTGAACACCCTCTCCATGAAGCTGCTGGCCTACGCCATGGACTACTGGTCGAAGGGACAGCTGAAGGCGCTCTTTCTACAGCACGAGGTGAACCACTCATCAACACATTTAGACCACAGAGACCAAACGCTTTTTTTCATGTCCTGCTTTGATGTGCGTCATCTTTTCTAATTTAATGCTCTTATCTCTTTTTTCCAGGGCTACTTCGGAGCGGTCGGAGCCTTGTTGGAGCTTCTGCATCCGTCCTAATCCGTCCCAATCACATCCAAAGAAGTACTCGTCAAGCTGCTGCAAAGACCAAAAGCACTTTAGACTGTTGAGAATTAATTCCATGCATGCCACCAGTTGGTTACTGATACATTTTGGATGAAGCAGGCAAACATTTCGATGTCCTATAATCAAAGAGGTTTATGAAAGGTGTTTCTAAATGTTGATGCACATCAGAGTGTTGTCTGAGTCCTGCTCAATCAAACTTTAAAGCAGATAAATTGACTCTGGATGTTGCAGAATCCGTCCACGTTTGGTCTGAAACACCTCGAACCATGTCACCGCGTTTGCCTGAAATACTTCAAAGTCAGTCATTCAGGTCTTCACCTAGTTTGTCTTCTGGACCCTCTGTGGGTATAAGGTCCGCGTCCAAATATTTCCTCGTATTTTTATGGTTATTTCTCCGCTTAGGCTCCAGATGGATGGGAGTTGATATGAAAATGAGGAGTTACGACTTAAAGATGATCACAAGAGACACAGATATGTTGTTAATGAATCTTTTTATCCATGAAACGTTGCACATTCATAGTTTCCAGAACCAAAGAAGAATCATTTAAAAATCCATCCTGTACTCTTGTAGTAAAAACACTGAGATTCATTTAAAACCACTTCAGTCCCCGTGTCTGCCTGGCGTTCGTTCTGGGTAGGAAACGCGGGCTGTGGCTTGTATGAAGCGTCCGTCCTGTCTCCATGACAACAGTCTGTTGACAACGGTAGCTGTATGACCCGACACTGCTTCGTTACTTTTTACTGCATGTTTTTTATTTGAGATCGTTTATTTCCCGACGAGTCACACGGAGCGAGGAGGATGGGGTGCAAGACACAATCTGTGGGCGTCAAAAGTATGAGGAATATCATATATATGGAAAAGAGCACCTTTCTGAAAAGTGTAACGATTTCAACTCAGAGCTTGGTAAAAAAAAAGACTCTGCCTCGTCAAACAATCTCTAAAGTGAAACCTTAATTTATGAAACATGCACAAGAGGTCACTATTTCATAGACTTGTTCTTAAACAGAGAGTTCGGGTTTATAAACCTGGTTGTTTTCGCCAAGCTTTTATTTTGTGATTTATTTAACGGTTTTGGGGCGCACTCGGCAATCTGTATCGTTTCTAAGCATGTTTGACCCCCCAGAGTCCACGTCGTTTGACTAGAATTTCCTCCTGGGATTAATAAAATAGTTCTGATTCTGATCAGTGTGAGAGCTCTGATCTGTGTTCAAGCATGTTACACTTTGGGGGATGGTGGGGGGGGACAGTCCTGCTTCAACACAGAACAGAGCAGCTTGGCCTAGTGTGAGTGAGCCCTTAGTATCAGGAAGTCTGGACAAGTCAGGGTTACTGGGACTGTTCTGTCAAGTTAAAGCGGTACATTTGAGCTTCCACATCCGCCCTGCTAAAGTGCCCTCGAGCAGCTGCATCACTTTGCATCACAAGTCGAGTGAAAACAAACAGAGCAACAATGTGAGGCGTCCAAATCAAGTTAAATATCAGGGCATTATATCTCTGACTGTTTTTCATATTCAGGAAATGTTTTATCCAGAAGCTTGCTGCATCCCTCCAGCGGAGATTTAAAGCCCCATATCTCGAAGCCATGCCCGTCTTCATCAGAATGTTCAGTTTGTACCGAAATGTGAATGTTTTGAATTGAATGTGCATCGTTGTCAGTCCCTGAAGCTTTGTGGTTTGTTATTTGATTGGGGTCAGAGATGATATTTTCTCTGTTATGTCAGTTAATGCAAATCCTCCCCATTTTACTGTGACCCTCGGGACACCTCGGGATCCCCCAGGAGGAGCTAGAAAACACTGCTGGGGAGAGGGACTGTGGCAACTTGCTTAGCCTGCGACCTGACCCCGGATTAGCAGCAGATAATAGATGAGTGTTTGTTCAGTTTTTGGTCCAACGAGAGAATAAGGGACCAGAATGAATGATGAACTACTGAATATATTTGACTCCCAACACGGTTGGAAATTCATCGTACACGTTTAACTGTGGATCTCTAGAGAGGATTTAGTGAACGAGTAAATAAGTGCCTGTCATGTTTTTGTATAAAATACATGAATGTGTTCAGCAATGTGATTTAAAACAGAATCTGTCATTTGAAAAGTTTGCTTTGTTTTCTGTCTTCTGCAAAGACGACTTTGTACCTGTTTTTGTAACAGTGATTACAGATTTTTCTAATTGCATTTTCTCTGTTAAATACAAACCTTCCATATTTCTACGACGACCTGTGGAGTTTTATTAAATTATTTCTTTGGCATTCATGGAGGTACAGATGATACAGCCTATCCTTAGGATTTGTCTCAGACGTGTCATTTTCAATTTTGGGTGAGCTTGCTGTCTGCAGAAGTTCAAACTTAGTTCTATATACAATATTTTATTGGGAATTTTTTATAAAGAAAATGCTTGATATCTCTCTCTGAACCATTGACATTACAGAGACAAAAAAACAAGTTAACTAAAACTTATAAAACCTTAAAAACTAAGCCTTTTCATAAAATAGAATCTAAACCAACAAAGCCGCATTAAAACTTAATTTAAATTCAAACAGTAATCAAAACAAAATTCAAAACTAATGTAACATTTTAAAACTGTTTAACCCTGGTAGAGTCAGCACTCTAGTTTTTGTTTGTTGTTGTAAACATGAAGTCACCACCAGGGGGCAGCAGCTGTCATCGTAGCTGCGCGTGAAGTGCTAATTACATTCGATGTTCGACTTCTTCGCTGTTGCCAGGCAACCAGTGTAGAGTTCATGATGTAGCTGCTCTGTCTACAACATTTTTACATTTTCAGACTCTTCAAGTATTTTTAAAAACAAATTTCTTGGGATAAATTAAACGGTAAAGAGCGTGATGGTTACTTCTATGTGTTATTTTTTCTCTGCGTAAAACTTAGCTACTCTCTTCACCTCCATTTTGGATTTTTATTACCAGTCGCTTTTCTCCAGTTGTAAATGTACGGAAGACGATTAGGGCCAAACCATAGACTGTAAAAAAGATGAGAAACGAACAGTCAGAGGATGAAGATGTATTTTTTATTTTGTACTTAGTGGAACAAAAAGGAGAAATGTTGGGAATAAAATGGAAATACAATCTGGAGAATGAAGTCAAGATTTCAAGAAATTGTATTTCAATTTAATTCTCTTTTCGGTTTTAATCTCGATATATTCAAGATTTCAAAAAAGACTTATTGACTTTTTTCTTGACATTCTCAACAAACTTTGAAACTTTTGTTCTCTATACTACGACTTCATTTTTTAAAATAGCCTAATATGTGGACCTTTTCTCGACATTTGGTCTTTTCTCGAAATTTCTCAACATTTCGACTTTATTATAGGAATTATTAAAATTTTATTTTCGACATTTCAACATTTTTTTTCTATTTTTTTTTTACTTTATTCTTGATGAGTTTTTTCTTGATATTTAAACTTTATTCCTTTTATTTTATTTAAACTTCATTCTCAACATTTCAAGTTTCCTCGACATTTCAACTTTTTTCTCTCGATACTATTGTTTAATTTTTATATTTACATTTTATCTTTTTTTCTCAAGATTTTGGTCTTTCTTCAACATTTGGTCTTCCTTTCGAAATTTCAACTATTTTTCTGAATATTTCGATTTTATTCTAGAAAATGTATTTTAACTTCCTTCTCCACATTTCGACTTTTTTTTCTCCAACTGCATAATGTAACTAAAATCTCCTCTCATTATGAACTTCTCCTGTCTGGCTCTAATCCTCTTCCTTAGAAATGTGCGGACACGTTGCGCTCGATCAGACACGTAGGCTGAGCGCGAGAATAAGCCAAATTCTCGTTTTTTTGGCGTTATGAAAGAGCACATCTGCCTGTTACAGAACATCCATGAAAGAGTTAGTGTCTTTCCAGGGAATAGAACCAGCCCCCTTCAGTCCTGCACCCTCCTCCTCCTCCTCCTCCGTCTCAGTGAACGCTGCACAGCTGGCAATTTACTGACAATAACGCTGCGAGGAGTAATTGGCTGCTTGGTGGACCACTGTCCTGCAAACTGGACCCGCGTTTAATAAGAGGATGAATTAGCAGAAGTGCTGGGATCATTTTTAACTTTTGATCACTGGGGGTCGGTTCATAGCTTTTTGGATAACCAAAACCCAAGAGTCAGCTCCCCCCTTTCTCCACTGGAACCGTTATAACCTCCTCATACTGGACTCATAAGGTAAGACAGATTGGTTAATAGTTCGACTTTTTAAGGAGGGGGAATTCTAAAGTAGCTACAAAACTGAACTTTTTTTAAACAGAAAACGAAATAATGATTAAATAATTTCTTTGTGCTGAAATAACAGCACATGTTGTATTTTGGTTCTGCTTTTGAACTTTGTGAAGTGTCAGTGTGCCTTCAAAATCCCTTCATACAAACCACAGCCCATCTGCAGCAGTTTATTTGTGTTTTATATCTTTATATCAAACAGTTTCACCTTCGGGATGTTTGAAATCTTAGATGAAAAATGTGAGGAATGCAGCAAAGAGAAAACAATAAAACTGTTCCAAAGCCAAATACAGAAGTAGCAGTTTTATTTATAAAGCACATTTCATTACGAGTAAACTCAGTGAGGTTAAATACTCAGCATACAACACAAATAGTTTCCACAGTCATGAATGAGATACAGAAATCAATTCAATGAAGTCATACACACCACAAAGCAAACCTCAATAAGTGCTCAAATATACAAACACACAAAGTAACTATTCATATGCCTAGAAGAAAACAGGTTAGTAGAGAGAGTAGTGATGGACCTCAGGTCAGCAGGAAGTAACTTAAGACCCCTCTCCGGGCTTTGATGTGGTTCTGGATACGGCTTAAAGACCTCCACCTGATGAGCTGAGGGGCCGGGTCGGGTCGGATCTGTGAGCAAGTCAGAAAGTTACTCTGCTGAACCATTGACTAATGAATATAGACTTGGAATAAAAGTTTGAGGTGCATTTGTAGAAATCAAATTTGCCAAATATCTGCTTTTCACATCAATAATGTATTTATCAAACGAGCTTCATAGAACTGTTTTATAACAGAACAGCTTTGGGTTGCACTTGGAGTCCTTTGGGATCGTGTTTTTCAACCTTTATACAGTGATGCATGGATTTGTTTGAGATGCTTTGCAGCTGTATATGTAAATGAATAAAGTCTACAGGAGCTAAAAAAAAAGATGAGGAAGATTTTATTGTGAAAGAGGAAGCATGAGAGAAAATGGACTGCAAAGAAACCCAAAGTTTGTCCTTATTAAAAGCTTTTAAAGGATCCCTCATTAGAAAGCGGTGCTGTTAAATTTCTCTCCTGAGTTTGGTAAAGATTAAATCCCTGCATCATGGTTTGGACTGTTTTACCTTCACAGTTTCTCACCTCTTACATTCTCCAGGAAACGTTGTTTGGCTTATTGCCTATTTTCCATTTCAAGCAACTTTCTTTGTTTCTGCATATCTAGAGTATTTATTTGTGTAAAACCGTATCAAACACCGCGGTAGCCACTTGTATCGTCATTCCTTCCATCATCCACGACCTCCTCTGATGTGGCTCACGCTCATGTTGGCTGGTTTACAGTTAAAAGTTTCACAAAGTTCCTCTGAGGTCAACAACATGCCGCAGAAAAGGCACGCAAATCTCTTCCTGTCGCCCCATGCAGGGAGCTTTCACTCCCGGCTCGGTGCAGTCTACCGAATCTCAGTGGAGGTACAGACCTCTGGTTGTAATTAGCTAACAGATTCAGTGTGTTTTTGGTGCTTGCATGCAGAGTCTTGGGACAGGAATGACAGCTAAACCTTTTGATCTGAGCTTTTCTTAAGACCTGATCTGTGAGCACATCGGAGACTCGCTGCCTCAGAATGTAGACAGACGCTTTTAATTAGCGCTGTACTGACATTGTTAGGCATGGTCTTTTTGAATTAACACAAGACAATAACCATACTGTTGTCTTCGCTGGAGGCTGCATCTATCCAGCCCTCGATACTTCTTTTGATTATAGATGATATGTCTTACTTATTTTGATAACGGCCCACCTGGTTGTTGGTGTTGATTAGCTCTATTAGGCTCCCTTTCCCCTGAATCATTGCTGTGGCTCAGTTGGATTATTCCAGTGAATTCAAGATTCAAGATTTGTATTTGTCACATGCTCATACAGATGTGCAGTGAAATGGAAAGCCATAAAAAAGTTCTCAAAAACAACATAAATAAAGAAAAAAACACACAGCCTCAGAGGAGCAACCTGGACGGCGTCTGGACACGGCCGCGCCATCTTGATTGTCTAAATTGCCTAAATTCAATTTAGGTCTTGTTATCGCACCATCAGTGAGGATAACATCGTATATACCAAAGCAACAGAGAAGATGTGAAACGTTTCGATGTAAGATGTCAGATTATCAGTGATGCTGTGAAACCTTTAGTGAAGTTATCTTAAAGGTAGAGTCAGTAGTTTGTAAATACAACATTCAAACTGGGCCCCTCCTCCTGGCAACCTGAGAATGTTACATTTGTTTTAATGGAAAAGCCGATCATTTACCGAGCTAGTCGCTGGTGTGTGCTGTGTGGCATCTGCCTGTCCAACAGAAAGAGGGCCGACTCTCTCCATCCAAGTAGGTGAAAGCCCACCCAGGGTTCACCCTCAAGCTTTAACCACTTGGCTTTTTTCCTCACTGGTTATATTTTTCCTTCTCTGCCGGTCTGGTCTGAATGGGGATCAGTCTGTTTTTGTATCCACTCCCAAACTCACCTGCTGCGCTGTCATTGGCTGATGGAAACATCCCCCGCCCAGAAACGTCCCGAGGCAACCAGAACAGTAAAATCCAGTCAGAGGAGACACAGTCACCACCACACATGTACGGAGGCCCAGAAGGGGACGATGGAGCAGCTTCACTTTAGGATAAGAGATGATTTTATTTTAATATATTTTATTTTGAAGGAGATTGACTCTGACTCCACCTTTAACTATTTAACTTAAACTGCAGCAATAAGTTAAAAAAAAAGATTTGTCCAGATTTCTCTTCATTGAAACAACAATTTTCTAAAATGTGCTTTTAGCTTGTAAAGATTTGATGCTTCTCTTTGTCCTTTACAATAGTTAATGAAGAGTCTTTAGAGTTGGTTGATCAAAGCAGCTGTTTCAAAATGCCACTTTAGTCTTTGAGAAATTATGATGAGAATTTGACAATTACTAGCAGTTAAATCGATTTATCTTGTACGTTTTCTGCACAATGATTGAGAATAATTTATTTCTGCTCGACTGTATCCTGAGGTACGACAGAAATAGAGCATGCCAAAATGTTGTTACCCCTCATTTGCACGAAGCAGGAAGTTCATCTGTGCACTCTGATGGATCATTTAAAGCACTTATCCACAGAGAGGCCGTGTGCAGCCAGAGGACTGATTACGAACTGAACATTTTCTCCTCACTCGTTCCTTAAAATGTTGCTTAGAGGTATTAGTGTCCTTGTCTTTTTCATTAGCTCCATGAGGACACTTCATTCTTACCCCTTATACTGAAATTAAGATTAAAAAAAGCTTAAATGTTCTAAATATCTAGGGACAAAAATGTGGCCTCACATTGCTTCAGTTTTAGACCGTTAGCAGCTTTGCTTTTTAAAAACCCTGCTGACTAAAGCTTAGTGTGTGTCCTTCCATACGCTGTGAAACAGGACTCAGACGACGCAGTCAGCCTCAGACATGTTTTGGAAAGTGCGCCTTAAGTTTGCGGCCTCTGTACAAACACACCACACTACTGTATTTGTGTCTCTGGAGGAACAACCCCCCACTCCCTAAAAGCAAAGACGGAGTGAAGCTGTCGAGGTATCAATAGCAGGACTATGTTAGCATTCAGGGTCGACAAGAGCGGCACAGGAAGGTTTCTGACTGCAGAGTGAACATTTGAAAAAACAAGAATTATGAATGAATGTTCCTCTAGACAAACTTTTATCTGCTGATTAAAAAGTGAACATTAGCACCAGGGCAGTGAAAAATCATCCTCAGAGAAGCTTTATGAAAGGAGACAAACATGCAGTAAAAGTGTTAATTTAATAGACATAAACAATCATGTGTCTTTTGTCTTTGGGCCTCATCATGTGGTCGCTGAGGCCTGCACGTTTTTAATGTTCCCCACGATTCTTCCCCACATCAGAGTCAAGTAAACACTGACCAGATGGTTTGAATCAAGCAGTCGGAGCGACTCCACACGGTCACATCAATCCTCGCTCCATATGCTGAGCATATTTTAAGCTCCACTGTTTAAGTGAGCCCTTTTCGGTTTGAGATATTTATACAGGAAGTTTGTTTTTGTAGACCGTAGAGACGTTCAAGGGGCATCTCATTGGTAACTTCAGCTGCCTTTAGTCCTCTCTCGTATTATCTTAGTGCAGAATGGTAGTTACTGTAGAGACGTGTCCCAAAATGGAACTGACTTCTTCTGGTTGAACATACATTTATAGACGTTTGAACTACAGCCACACCAACACTGGATTTTTGAGATGAAGATGTGTTTATTTCACTGAAGAAAAAAAAGGTTTATTATCCATAAAGTGGCTGATGTTAATGTTTTTAATGACAGTTATGAACTGATTGGGCAGACATACCCACAAGACCGCTTTCATGATCTAATAACTTTACCAGAGAATTCATATATTGGTGTTGTTTAAATTCTGGTGTGCCCTGCTGTGATGCTCTGCTGCATGTGCTGCACACAGTGCTGAGAGTTATCTGTGGAGTCAAAGTGAGTTATGAAAGACTACACATCAGGAAAGTCCTGCTTGAGCTCCTCCTGCCTGGCCACTTTTCGATTTGCAGTAACTTCTGTCAGTTTGTCTGCGTCCATCATTTCCCTTCATTCACTGTGCAGCCTGATATTGTTCTCACGGCGTATATGGACCATCATCCACGCTGTCGACCACTTTCAGTGTCTCCATCGCCCTACAGAGACAACACCATTTTTTAGTCCATCCCGGTTACTGTTATCTGCATTAAACATAATATTTCATCGGTATAGGCCCAAATAAAGTTTATAGCCTTAATCAGACTGCCTATCTTTTTACCTTCACCTTCAAACATTTTTTGGGTTCATGACTGTCGCAGTTGGCTTCTCCTCAATTCCACTTGGGCTTAATTTTTGCTGCTGTCAAAGTAATCATTTAAGAATACATAAAAGCAGATCCGCTGTCGATTGGTTTCCTACTCAACAGTTAAATCCACCTGAGGCCCCGTGTGAGCTTAGTGTTTTTCTGAGCGCTGGTGTCTTGGGAGGAGAGCGTTTGCAGCAGAAAGCGGTCGCCTGGACTAAAAAGTGCAGTGCCCAGTGTCTCTTTTACAAGGTCTCTGCCGTTTTTGTGCAGCCGCTCTGAGCGCTCAAGTTAAAAAACGTTTAACTTTTCAGAAAAGCGCTGTTGACGTCACCGGCGCTCATTTACAAATGTTTGATATTTTTTATCTCCTACGGATCTTATCTTCTAACACATCCTCTTTGCTCCGTGTCTGATCGGGTAAAAAAAAAACTGTCAGCAGACGGTTGTCATAGCGACAGGATGGTTGAGCAGCTAGGTGGACTCGGGGCCTTAATGGATCTGATATTCAGCATTAAGTTAATTGAACACCTGTCCTCAGATTGATCCTCTGATTGTTTCTCTTTTTCTTCAAATGCAGCTAAAATAACGATGAAGTCAAGACACAGGCAGCAGTTAGCGTTCAGCCTTCTGTTTGGGTTGTGGTTACCCTGCTGTTTAGCCCAGACCACACCATCAAGCACAACCGCCTCGCCAGCGCCCACCCCCTCCCCGTCCTCCCCGTCCCCCCAGCCCCAGACCGAGCGGCTAAAAGTCAGACTGGCCGGATTCCCACGGAAACACAACGAGGGTCGGGTAGAGCTTTTCTACAAGGGAGAGTGGGGAACCATCTGCGATGACGACTTCTCAATAACAAACGCCAACGTGCTCTGTCGCCAACTGGGCTTCGTCTCGGCCACAGGATGGACCCACAGCGCCAAATATGGCAAAGGACAAGGTGAGAGTGACCTCAGACACTTCCTCAGATCCAGTTTCTTTGTTTTGTACACAGTCTGCTCTGCAAGATCATTTTTGTATGCTGCTCAGAATGACAGTTTTGGGCATCAGGGTTTTGTCAATGAGTGATATTTAAACCGTCTAAACCCTGGTAGTCGTGGGAAGCTTTCTCCCACTAACCTTTGATCCAAGTACGATGCAACAGATACTTAGGGGATGTGCGTTACAAGCAGCAAAGTGTCACTTCCAGGCCTGGATTGAAAACCTTCCTCAGGCCTGGGAGTGTGCTGGAGCCACTCTGACTGTCTGCTAACTGTCCAGGAAAAATCTGGCTGGACAACGTGCAGTGTAGCGGGGGCGAGAGGAGCATCGACGTCTGCAAGTCTCGCGGCTGGGGCAACAGTGACTGCACTCATGACGAGGACGCCGGAGTGGTGTGTAAAGACGAGAGGATCCCGGGCTTTGTGGACTCAAATGTTATTGACGTAAGTCGCTTAAAATACATTTAGAGATGTTGTGTAATTTTGTTGCGCTTAAAATGATGCACAGAGTTCATGAAGCTGCAGTTATAGGCAGTAAAGTGGGCGTGTGTGTTAACAGCTGCTGCTTCACAGCCTATAGGCTATATGGTAAAACCCACATGGCAGACATTCAACGCCTCAGTGCAACTCCACCTGTAGCTGCCACACACATGGTGTCGATCAGCTCTGCTCCATACCATGTGTCTGAAGCTGTTTACAGCTGCAGCTTCTCCAACTGCATTCTCCTGAGGTGATGCAGAGTGTGCAGTAAACTCAACACCTTTCATAACAACCTGCAGCTTCAGTTCCTTTGATGGATTGTCTGTAGGGTCGTGGAGAAGAGCGAGGTCGTGACCTCAGTGTCTCTGGCTTGGATGTGAAATTCTACTCTTAGTCTAAACTTAAAGGATTACTTCACTCACAGACAGCAACTAAAGTTATTCAAATAGTGTTTTTATATCCATCATGTTTCTGTTAAAGGCAGAATATGATCCAGCAGATGTCGCCCTTGAGCACCAGCATGAAACCAAAACAACTCGCGCTGCATTGTTGTGTTAGCATGCTAATGCTAGTGATCTTTATTATGCTGGTATCTTCACACTGCATGTAAATTTACCTGAAATGAGCGTGATCTAGAAACACAGTTAAGCAGTGAGTACAGTATGTTATTCTTCTTTTCTCTAGTCCCTCAATTAAACAACTTTTATACACGAGGGGAGGAGTCAGCCGGCCGTCCCGGCGATGTAAACAAAGTGAAGATAGGACTCTGAAAACTCTGAAAACATCACAGACAGTGGGACTCGGGTGTTACACCCATTGTAGACAGTCATGACTCACAGAGTTATTTTCAGAGGAGATACTTGATTTCTACATTTAAGTGTGAAAAATTGCATATTTTTCCTTTAAGTGAAGCTACATAGCTGCATTATGTGCATTATATTCGCACTGGTCGCCTGCAGACAGACTATGGTTGTGCACCGATTGCAGGGAATAGACGTCACCGCCCCCTCTCACCCTGATTATATCCTGCTGTGTTCTCACATCAGCTTGCTCGGACTTTCTGTGGAAAACAAACTAGGAGGCTGGAGGAGAAACACGAGATAAAGTCTGAGTTAAAAAACTCAGCTGTTTGCGTTCACACATGCAGCTCCTCCTGGAAACTTCAGGAGTTTTTTTTACAAGTTTTAGAATATATCTCATTTGGAGAATTTTACAAACATTCTCACAGCCTCTAAATGATGCAGTGAACCAAAGGAAAAAACACAAAAAAGAGTGGATGATTTATATCATTTTCATGGACTGATAGTAGGTTCATTAGATTTGCTACACACCTCTAGTAGAATCAGTGTTTGTATCCACATCCTGTACCGGCAGGAGGGAATAATGTGAAGCAGATAAAATGTTCTCGATAACCCTCCCTGAGTAATTCAAGAATTCAAATTGAGGAAACTTTTGGTCCTGTTGTGGTGTGATTCCATCTTAGCTGTTTCTAGCTGTTGTTTTCCCATTTGTCCTCGTTGATCTCTGTGTGTGTTACTGATTGGTCCTGAGGTTAACAAGGTTAGACCGGGAACGTCTCTACCACAGATCCTAACTGGATGATGTGTCTCTGTTACAAAGAAGGATGAAACATTCTGTAAGAGAAAGTGGGCTTTCTTTAAGACATTCTCACTGAGAGTCAGGCTCAGTGAGATGTGGCCTCCAGACCACTGCCAATTTTTTTTCCCAAATGAAGCTGAAAGGAAGTGACTCACAGACGGTCACGTTTACCCCTTAGGAGCTGTCAGGCTGAGAATTTGACCCAAAGTGATTCTCAGTAAGAGCTCTGACTCACTGTGAAGTCTGTTTCACTCATTCAAGAGTCTTTAAGAAACGTGGACAAGTGAGCAAATGTTTGTGGGCAGCTGTGGCTCAGGTGGTAGAGTCGGTCGTCTCTCAACTGGAAGGTTGGGGGGTTCAATCCCCAGCTCCTGCAGCCACATGTCCGATGTGTCCTGCAGCAAGACAACCCCAAGTCGCTCCAGCTGCTTTATCGGCGGTGTGTGTGAATGGATCAGTTAATATTTATGGACTCTTTACACAGCAGCCTCTACCATCAGTGTGTGAATGAAAGGTGTGACCTGAGCCTCTTATTTTTATTTTTTTTGCCTGTTTGTCTCCGCACAGGCTCACGTCGATGAGAACAAGATCGAGGTGGTGCGACTGCGCCCCGTGGTCGCCGTGGCCAAAAAGAAGATGCCCATCACCGAGGGCGTGGTGGAGGTGAAATACAAAGACGGCTGGGCGCAGATCTGCGACCAGGGCTGGACCATCAAAAACACCCGTGTGGTCTGCGGCATGCTGGGATTCCCACATGAGAGGAAGGTCAACAAGAACTTCTACAAGTAAGGAGCTCGACTTCAACCGAAGTACATTTAAAGTTTTTGGTGTTTTTAAGCCGTTGTTTGGAAAGTAAAGAACAAGAGAGGCCGTCCTTAGCGGGGATTTGGTGCCCAAACAGGGTTTTGGTCTTTGTGCATTACTTTGTAAAGCAATTAATAACCAACTGCAGAGAAGGAACAGAAAGAACCAAAGTGTGTTTGTCACATCTGCAGCTTAGTTTTGGTTTGTTGGTCAGAAAATCAAAGAGATTTTTGGGTGATTGACTTTAACTTCTTCTTTACGTTGATAATTTTTACATTATTCATTAATTGATAATTTGTAGAACTCTTTGATGGGATGTGTTCAAAAGGCATTCAGCTCCACAGCCAACATGATAATAATAATAATAATAATAATACATTAGTTTTAAATAGCGCTTTTCTAAATACTCAAAGACGCTTTGACAAAAACCGCAACCAAAAAAAACAACAACAAAAAAAACGACGAGGACAGCACAACGAAGAAGTAATGTAAGTGGGGGGGAGTTAGTGGTTGTAGGCGATGTTGAAGAGGTGAGTTTTTAGGGATTTCTTGAAGGGAGTGAGAGTGAGGGGGAGTCTCAAATGTTTTTTGGGAGTGAGTTCCAGAGGGTGGGAGCAGCAATGAGTCATGGTTCACCTGGAAGACGAACGTTTCAATTACTTTGTCATTATCGGTTAATGTTGTTGTAAACATTTCAAAACAATTTCAGCTTGCCATAAAATAAAAAAGAGAAAATCCTGATCCCCTACCTCCAACAGTCGGGGGCATGGCCTTATACAAGGCTTGTAGTAAAAGATTATTAGTCCAAAGAATCCTCAAGTGTGTCAATATGATTCATTTTCTGTTTCAAAGCAGAACGCACACCAGATCCAACTCTACAATTCTCTTAGCAGACTCTTTTATCCAAAGCGACGTACATCAGAGAGTAAGAACAACACAAGCAAGGATCTAGAAAAAAGGGAACAATGTGAGTAAGAGCAAACGATCAGCTTTGAGTCTGATTGGACACACAGGTGCTGACAGGAAGTGACCAGAGGCAAAGCACAACATTGAGGGCAGTTCTTGAGAGCTCTAATCAGTATAGAAACCATCTTATAAGTCAACGTTATCAAACAAAAACCATCGTCATTACCATCATCATCATCAATAATATGGAGACCATCATCATTAAGTTAGTAGGTATTCATGAAAGAGCTGGGTCTTTAGCTTTTTCTTAAAGGTGCAGAGATCCTCCTCCGTATTTGTTTTTCTATTTGATTACACAACTTTCTGTGGAATCGTTTGCCCTCGCGATCTGGCTGAATCATCTAGTGTGTGCGTTTGTTAGATTATAATGTTAAACATCAGTTGATTCTGTCCTCATGTCTGTGGTCTCCCATGTTTTTAAATTGGTTAAGATTTAATAATGGTCTCGTTTGCAGCCAGCCTAAATGTCTCAGCCCTGGATAAGATGATTAATAGCTGTTCCCTTCAAAATAAAACACTGCAAGTTGTTTACAATGCACAAGAAAACCATTTTTACAATCTAATGGGAGTGTTGGAAAGTTAGACTGAGTCTTAAGATTAATAGCGCGGTTACATCACATTAGAGCCTGTTCAAATGTAAACTCCACTGACCCTCACAGTCACAGAGCCTGCTGTGGTATGTGAGTACAGTCGACTCTCAGACCCCCCCAATTTCAGTTTATCCTAGTTTATCCGTCCAGTATGACTGCACACATTCCTGGCTGCACTCCAGCTGAAGGCGTCTTATTCATCCCCCTGCAGATGGTTCGCAGCAGAACGAGGGGGAAACGTGTGTTTTCTCTCGAGTATGTGTGAAGGCTGAGGCTCAGGGGAACCGCGGTTGTTCTGTGTTGTCTGAGGCTTTTTTAGTCTGTTTGGTCAGAATGTATGAGAGTGGGAGGGACTGCACACAAACAATGAGCTTTTCACATTTGTATCGCTGCATGAGAACAAAAACCAACTTCTTCAAGCACTTTGAATGGACTGTAACTTGCTCATAAAGGTGTTTGAAGACAGATGTGTTAATGCTGAGAATAACTGCCACGTACAAATTTGGGGATTTTGTCATTTCCCTCTGTTTGGCCTCGTTTGTATTCCTGCCTATCAAAAACACTTAAAAGCATTTAAAAACAGGAAATAGTCAAAGAGACGATCAAATGTGGTTTAATCGCTGCAACATCATGCAAACAGGGGAATCAACCAGAGCAGGAATTTCACAGAGGCCAGAGAAACCATTGAGGTCATGTTCGCTGTGACCCTCAAAAAAATGATGTGTCCAGCGCCACAGCCACAGTGGCCTCGATACCCCGTCTTTGTCTTTGTCTTTGTCTTTGTCTTTGTCCTTTCTTTACCAGTTGAGTAAAGGAAGTTCCCAGTTAGCAAACAAACTAGAAAAGACACTTATGCTGTTGTGTCATCCATTGCTTTGGTAGCAACACTGAGTCATCAAGCTAAAACGTTTTGTTACTGACAATTATTGTTGCCTAATCATTTTTGTTTTCCTTTTTTTTGTGTCAATATTTGTACATTTGAATCCTGGCCTATTGCTACAGAGCTCCCAAAGGCTCAGGCAAGAAAAAAGTGAATAACCTGTGCCCACAGAGTTGCAATCAGACCGCACAGATTTATTTTATTTTATTTTAAAGATTTATTTTGGGGCTCTTTGTGCCTTTATTAGAGCGATAGTACGGTGGATAGAGTTGGAAATCAGGGAGAGAGACGCTTGGAGGACTACAGCCTCTGTACATGGGGCGCGCGCACTAACCACTGCACCCCCAGACCGCACAGATTTTTAAAGTTTGTGCATCAATTTTCAAACTGTTTTTAAACAGTGCTTTACAAAGCTGTGCACATAGTCTACAAATTCATCCCCATAGTTGACAAATCCTTTCACACCATTTATGAAACCATGCCCACAGATTTACAAAAAAACACTTTTTTTCTTACCTGAGCTTTCGGAGGCTCCGTGTTAATTTACATTGATGTAGGCAGTGTTTTCCTGCACAGCCCTCACTCAGACAGTTAGCAGGATATCCATATCATGCTAATAACAATGAGATTTTAAAGCTGCTGAATGGTGGTCATTGTGCTAAATGCTAAATAGCTGGGTTAGCTTTCTAATTGTGTTGTACATTGGTAACCTGAAGTCTGTAACATGATCTAGTGGAGACTTGTGGAATTTCAAAAATGTTTTTCACCGCTGACCCTCCGGTACTTCACCTGAAAGACGTGTATGTGTTCATCCCAGAGACGACAGTGTGTGTGTGTGTGTGTGTGTGTGTGTGTGTGTGTGTGTGTCAGCGTGTGTGTTTGTGTATGCAGGAGCCTGTGAGTGTTTGCATGTAGTCTCTCTCCTGTATGTGATGGAATTTGGCCGTCTCACTGTTGCAGACGTCTGAAAAGGCGAGCGGCCGAGAAGGTCTCCAGGTCAAAGGTTAATGTTTCAGCTGGTGGAAGGTACACTGTCTGAGAGAGAAACCCTCCGTCCACCTCCGCCTGCGCTCTGCTAACTGTAGACTGACAGTGGGTTTCCTGTTGGCGTAGAAAATAGATGACCACTTCCCTTCTCTCTAATATCACATCATTATGATGAGCAGCACGGGAATGGGTTTAGGATGCATCGGGTGGAGTTCTGTATTCTTTTCATTCGTGTTTCTTTTGGCTTTTCTTTCATATTTTACTGGCATAACACGGTGAAATATTCTCTAAAATCCTCTTCTCCATGTTCCTCTAACTCTAACATGTGTCTCTAGTCTGTCTACAAACCCCCCAATGATGAGAAAAGTCCATCCTCTCCGTCTTCTGCCTGCTCCACTTTTCAGAAAATGTGTGCTCAAACAGGCTGTTTAGAGATTTTCCTTTTATGACATCACAAAGGGCAGTAGCCCCTCCCCAGGTGGGTGACACTCTGCCCTCTGAGTCTGCCTTCTCACTGTAAACAATAGGACATGGAGCGAGAAAGCACCGAGTACACTCAAGCCCTTCCAGAGAGGGGGCGTGGTCAGACACAGCTCATTTACATATTTAAAGGTACAGACACAGAAACAGCCTGTTCTGAGCAGGGCTGAAATAGAGGGGTTTATAGACATGATCAAATATAGGATCAGAGTGGATTTAGAACAAGAAACTTCACACACATGTTTTGAGGAGCTCTGAGACTTTTTTTAGACTCTCACACTAACCACTAGACTACCAGCGCCCCAAGAGCATGCTTTCTGAGAGAAATAAATAACTTCTCTTTTTGGGTTCTTCAACTTCAAACGACAGTCACAGTCCTACTTCTGTTTCTGTTACACCGTTTATAAAGAATCCTGAATTCTATTCAAATTGAGCTCATACTGATAATCATCTGTAAATGTTCCTGTCTGGACCAGAGCAACAAAAAGCCTCGACTGCTCTGAGGAGGTTGAAGAACTTCCTCACATAGATTGTGTGTGATGTGAGATATAATCACATATCATCATGGCTGGATTATCACATCCAACTTTTTGTAATTTATCGACCTCCTCTCCTAACAAAAAGCGATGCTGTGCTGTGTTCAAATCAGTGTGGTAATCTGAGGTTCACATTGGGAAACAAAAACCTAACACACAAAGTAGCATCGTTTACTAACAAACATGTTAAAGATCACGCTAAGGATGTTATAAACTACATAGTTAAATGTATATGGACACCCAAACTGCAGACCGATTAGTACCACGTCTCGTTCTAATCAGAGACGATGACTGAGGCTAACCAAACAAGAATGTGTTGAAAAGTGAGTCCACATACTTTTTGCTGTGCAGTTTATAAGAGTGGTCAGACGCATCCTCTTAAACCCTAACCCATGTACAGCAACTGTTGTTCCATGATTGTCCTCGTTGTCATGTTGTGTTCTCGTCTAACCCGTGTTTACCTTGCAGGCCGACATCCAAAGCTAAAGCTAACGCTAAGTCTAAACAGAGCAGCCCTGGCAAAAGGTAATCTGAGGATAAACTATTCAGTGGGTTCATTAAGGACCCACACACATGCTGCATCTGAAATACTCACAAAAATGTTCATCCACCGATAAGACAATCTGAGGTACTTCTGATAAAGAGCTGGATGTGCATGACAACAGAAATAGTTTATTCTCTGAAACACATCCACCCCCCCCCCCCATCAGAGCTCCTGCGCTGCACATGTGGCAGGTTAGAAAGAACGCCATCATTCACACTAGAAACGTAACAAAGTACAGTTAACTCAAAGCAGGTTGATTTTTTTGTACAATGTGTCAATACTTGATGTTATAAGTCCGCCGGGTTGTGAACACAGCTAATGCCCGTGTCTCCGCTCCCTGCAGGTTGTACCTGGAGCGTCAGAAGAGCTTCTTCCACGTTCACTCAGTGGCGTGCACGGGCTCCGAGGTCCACCTGGCCGCCTGCCAGCTGGAGTTCAGCAAACCTAACGCCACGTCCACCTGCCAGGGCGGCATGGCGGTCGTGGTCAGCTGCATGCCGGGGCCGCAGTTCATGCAAAACAGCGGATTGAAAAAGAAACTTAAAATATCGGTAAAGTATTCTTTGTCCTGAACTCACTTCATGAATCAGTCTCTGAGAGCGCTCTTAGCTTGGACTCTTCAGTTACTGTGAAATGTGTTCAGAAAGCATCAGAAAAAAGCTGGTTAGTGGACGTTCAGTCACATCTAAGTGTCCTGTAACGGTCGACCTTCTCACTTAAGTGTTAGTGGAATATTTTAATTAAGGTAAGGGGACGAAAATAAGGACAAATAGTAGCCCTTAAAATTGTCCTTGAGACCACTTTTTGAAGGTCTCGGAATCGAAGGTATCTTTACTCGGCCTTGTCTCGGTCTCAGACTGGACTCCAGATTTAAAATCAAGACCACCGCTGATTGGCTATTTTTCTACGTCATTACTGTGATGAGAAGGAAAACGCCTCTTTCTAAAAAAAATAGATAATTTAAATGAATTCATGATGTCATTTTTATTCCCTGATTACTTCGGCAGCCTTCCCGGTGTTGTGGCCTAAGTGAGATACACGATGCACACAAGATGAGGATTTCACAGTGATTTTATGTTCTTGGTCTTGTCTCGGTCTCGCCCTTCCTTGGTCTTTATTTATTTATTTACATTGGATCCCCGTTAGGTGTTACCACAGTAACAACTATTCTTCCTGGGGTCCAAGTTCCTGGGGTCTTGGTCTTGTCTCGGTCTCTGAGCACTCTGGTCTCGGTCTCGGTTAGTGTGGTCTTGACTACAACACTACTGCCAAAACACAAATTTATTTTGCATAGCTATCTTCATTACACAACCACAGAAACACATTAGCAGTAAACTGTAGAATCCCTCAGTTAAATAACCATAAATGGAGATTTTAATGTTATTTCATGTGTCTGCTTGTTGTCCAGAGCAACGTGAGGCTGAAGGGAGGAGCCAGGCTAGGCGAGGGTCGGGTGGAGGTGCTGAAAGACAACGAGTGGGGAACGGTGTGTGACGACCGCTGGAACCTTCAGTCAGCCAGCGTCGTCTGCAGAGAGCTCGGCTTCGGCACGGCCAAGGAGGCTCTGACGGGAGGCCGCATGGGACAAGGTAAAGGAAAGGGGGCACTTACCTTCAATTTAATCTGAGGAAATCTGTGGTTACAGTTCAGCTTTTAATGAATCTCTACTAGCAGAATATTACATTTTAAATAAGACTGTAAATAATAAGCAACGTATGGAAGAGGAAGTGGATCCAAAGGCTTCATCTGAGGCTCAGAGATATTGGCCGTTGAACATTCAGAGACTGAATCCCTCTAAAGGCCTCACAGGATGTGTTTGTTAGGGTCTTCAGACGGGAGTTCAGTCATCAGCTGTTTATCTGCAGCCTGAGTTATCTCTCAGGTCATCACTTGACCTTGGAGAACTGATGGTCCGCACTCAACAAGTCCACATTCCTGAACGGGTTCTTCAGTTAGCGCTTATTTTAATAAGTAGAGGAATGCAGAGCATGACGAAAGAAAAGACACAAAGATGAGAATGAAAGGAAGAACGTTTTCTGACGACCCCTCAGAGAAAACTGATGTGCTGCTCATGTTTCTGATCATTCTGATGATGCACTACATCCCTGACTTAAATCCCCCCACACAGGTCAGTGTTAAATTAAAAAGATTTCTTCTGCGTGTGTTTTTGAGTCTGAAGTCTGTCGGGCTTTTTTCAGAGCCGATCTCCATCTGTGTTATTGCAGCGAGGCTGTGCACCATTTCATGTCTGAGTGAGGCCTTCGATTTTAAAGAGCCCATCTTCAGTTTGAGCACAGCTGGCCTCCACATGAGTGAGAGTAAATCACCACATGATTGGAACTCAAACACTTCATGTCAGAGTTTGAAAGAAAAGCTGAATAACTTTGTGTCAGCGGTAATGGGAATAAAAACATTGATGCAGAGTTTTAGGATCTTTTTTGTGTCTTTTCTGGACTCACACACACACACTCTAATATCACACACTTTCATATTAATTTCCTTGGTTGGCTGAAAACTGAGTAGAAGACTTTGGCAGAGAAGCTAATCTGACTCAGAGTTCTCCTCTAAAAGATGAAAGCAGGATGTAAGATTTCTTTTGAGTTTGGAGCAGCTGTTTGTGAACGCTCTTTATAAGAAACTGATCTGATTTCTGCTCAAATAAAACGTTCAACAGCTCTGATGAAACACCACATTTGGAGCTGCTCCAATAGAGAGAATTCCTTAAACACGCTGCGCCTGAATCACTTAAGGACTGGGAAACTTTTGTGCTCGCTGAAACTGTTGAAATGAGTCAAAAAGACGTCGTCTAAAGAAGAGCCCGACCGATTAATCGCCCAATATTTGGATATCCAGTGACGATCAGTATCGGTTAATTTTATCGCAGATTTGCGCTGATATTACTCGATTTATTCAAACCAGTCAAACAGCATTTCATATGAGTTTAACCCTTGTATATTTTTGGCTGTGCCTAATGATTCCCTTAGCAAACAAAACGTCGGGTTGTGCGAGTGCTGTGGTGTCTGTTGGAACAACAGTCACAGCGTAACGTTCAAATATTTATTTTAGTGGAGGTGTTGCCTCACTGGTGATTCTCTGAAGGTGTGTGAAGCTTTCAGGTAAACTGCCCTGAGTTTCCACTGACGGAGAAACAAGGCGTCTTTTGAGGAGCTGCTCTCAGAAGCACTGGGTGGGGATGTCGGCTCTCTCGTGTGTGTGTGTGTGTGTGCATTTTGATTTCTACCACAGAGGAAGTGAGTGGAGGAGACTCTGAGGCAGCAGCAGCAGAACTGCTCTGTGCTCCGACGGGTGTCAGACCACCACCTGGGCGAAAATGAGTCCAAGACACATTCCTTGAGATCCCTGAAGTCGGAAACTGAATTCTTCCTCAGTCACCGTGTAGTTCAGTGACCGGTAGAGATGGAGTGAGAGTTTAGAGGGTTTAAAGTAAAGCAGGGTGTTGCTGATAGAAGACATGCACACTCAGCAAACCTGCCTCAAGTTAAAAAGGAAAGCTGAGGTTTAGTTTCAAGAAGTCTTTAAGTCTATAAGGCTGAACTTAAGGTTCTGGTTTAGCTCAGAGGCTGCAGTCCTCGTCGCTCTCGTCACAGGTTGGACCCCGGGTTCAGATGCTGTTTGGTGCTTATCCTCCCTCAGTCTCTCTCTCCACATTTACTCTCCCTCTGTAGCTTTGCTATCCAAATGTTGGCAAAATCCCAGAAAAGAAGGAACCTCACAGCCTTCAGTTCTCTGAAACTATTTTGGCTGTATTCTGCACATATTACAGAATATAAAGAGTAGCCTACATCGTGGTTATCTCGATGACAAAGGGATTAGGGATGTTCTCAGGCGACTAATTTCCTTGTTTGTCAAATGGATATTTTAACCAACTAGTCTAAAGGTAAAAAAACACAGAAAGGAACAAAAATGTAGCACAATTATTTATTTAAAATTGTCTGCGGGTAAGTCATGTTTTTTGGTTTGCAGAGTGTGGCTAATGTTAGCAGCGCTAGCATCGCCAGCATTGGTCCTCCCTGCAGGTTAACACCCACTTGCCTATGAATGTGTGGTTTCTCACGTGTCAATATGCCAGAACAAAATACGCTGCTACTGTGAGATTCTTTCTGTTCACTGTGCTTGTTTACATCCGGGTAGTAGAGCAAGGAGAGCAGGTCTATTACCCGGAGCTACAGCTCTGGTTTTACAAACAAGTTTATTGTTTTTTTTTACTTTCCAGCTGCTCTCTGTCTCTCTCACTGTATTTATGTATCTGTGTGTCCAGGAATGGGTCCAATCTACATGAACGAGGTGAAGTGTCTGGGTCTGGAGAAGTCCGTCTGGAACTGTCCCTTTAAAAACATCACATCCGAGGACTGTCAGCACATGGAGGACGCTGCGGTCCGCTGCAACGTGCCCTACCTGGGACTGGAGAACTTGGTCAGAGCGAAAACTTCTCACTGAAATCTTTCTTCCTCACCTTTTTTTATTAACTTGAGAAAAGTCAGAAAGTTGTGCCAGCTTTGCAGGAAATGATGAATGTTACATGTGAAATATAATCTGCATTACATTTGTTTTATAGTTATTCTACTTTATAAATGTTCTGTTTTACTGTTTTTAGATTTTGTATTTCTTAATAAGTTGGTGCTTTGCTGCTCTGGAGGAGTTGTTGGTTTGCACAAACATTTTAGATTTAGAGCTGCTACTCACACCCAATACTTCTGTGCTGTCACAAAAACAGTTACATCATTTATTATTCTCTAAGGCCGGGTATACACTGTGTGATTCAGGCCGATTCTGACCCGTACAACTCAATTTCTGCCCGATCATGCATTGTTTACTGTGCAGTATTTAAAGAGGCACAAGTCCCGATCTGCTGCTCCTGACCAGTCAGGTGATTTTTAAATTGTTTTACATATTTTAAAAGTTTGATCGTACATCTTGCACACACTTGGCAGTGAGAGCAGAGCCACAAGATGATTCCCAAACGTTAGGGCTTTTGTTCCTCATTCTCATTCTCAGGCAGCAGCTGAAATCACCATGGCAACAGCAGGTTGCATGTTTGTTTTGATGTTTCTTCCTCCTCCCGTTGCCAAAGACATGAACGCTGAGAAGCAATGGCCAGGAAAAAGCTGCAGATCTCCAGCTGACGATTTAGCTGCTAGTTAGCTTTTGTTTGTCTGTTGGTGACGCTGAGTGTTTGTTCATGTGAGAGCGTGAGAGCCTTTTTGAAGGTGTTTCTATTTGAGCTGTTATGAGACCAAAGAAATACACATAAATTAGATCTGAACGATTCAGTCCGACTGTGTGAGCTGACATTTCACCTTGACTTGTATACAGCTGTACGGTGTATTCCCGGCCTTAGCTAATAGTCTCATTGCTTGAAACCTAAAACTGTTGCAGGGAATAAATTGTTTTTGTGACAGCAGTGATTTCCTTTTAACATAGAGTATTACTAGTTGGGGAGTTTGCATTTTACCAGATCATGCTCTTCCATGTCTCACATAGATACACTGACAGGATAAAAACTCTGAAAGGGTTCAGGTTCATCTCATGGATACTTAAAATGATGATTTGAAACCATGACTAACACAAACAAGAACCTCATGACAGAGTTTTTATCCAGCCCGGTCTCGTGTATCTATGCTCTGCTGTGTGCTCTCTAACCCCCTCGGCCTCACACAGATAAGAATCACAGGCGGTCGGACCCGCTACGAGGGTCGTCTGGAGGTGCTGAGCACAGACTCGAACGGGACGCAGAGCTGGGGTCTGATCTGTGGAGAGACCTGGAGCACCAAGGAGGCCATGGTGGCCTGCAGGCAGCTGGGCTTGAACTACGCTAACCAGGGCCTGAAAGTAGGTCGTTAACACCAAAGAGGACAAAAACTCAGAGCTGCTATCTGACATATGAACACATGATGTACTGTCACACTCACTCAGAACACTTCCTGTTATCATTAACCTCCATACTACAACGTTAAAGTTTGATTCATTTTGGAAACGTACTCAAACACATCTGAAAGTCTGACAGTACATGAAAGGTTCCATATGGACTCGATGCTTCTTTCCTTCATGGAGAAACACGACACTGTTTCTGGTCTCCTCTTTGTGGGCAGACAAACACAGACACACATGAAGTTTCTAATCAAACTAAAAAAAAAAGAAGCCACTCACCACTAAAGCCAAGTGGTGACCTCATCTGGAAACCACGCTGACATTTTCCACGTCTAGAAAAAGTCTAACCAAAACCAAACCACCACTCCAACAAAACCTCCTCCCCCTGCTGCAGGACGGCACAGGGACACAATGAGAGTTAGAGCGCAGACAGTTGACAGACAGGACAGGAAGTGTGTGTCCCCTCACTGACTCCCAGCAGGACGTTTTCTGCAGATCCGGATAGTGGGCGGCCGCAGCACTTATGAGGGCCGGGTGGAGGTTCAGGTGGGGTCCAAGTGGGGCACAGTGTGCAGCACAGGCTGGACCACAAAGGAAGCCATGGTGGTTTGCAGGCAGCTAGGGCTCGGCTACTCCATGCATGCCATCACTGTAAGTAGAACCGAACATGAAGAGATTCTTTCTACAATGAGACGTAAATCATTTTCTTTCCCGCAGGACAAAAAAATAGAATCACATAAAACATAAAATTACACAGACGAGTGTGTTATTAACCACCAGGTCAAATTTCAGTGATTGACATTCAGTGATAGTTTATAAAATCAAGTTTCAAAATCATGCTGTGGGCGTGTCCGTTGGATTTGCTTTGTTTAAATACTCAACCAGGACTCTCGGCTGCAGGCTGCTCTCGTCTCTTAGCTTCAGTGTTGGCTGTCCTACCTCTTCTCATTTTTGTGCATTATTCACAGAAAAATAAAAATGTTTTCATCCATCAGTGTATGATGTTGGACAAATTAAGTTTTTAGACAAAACAACAACAAAAATAATGGGAACAGATTAACCAAGACCATCAGCCAAGAAATAACCAAACAGAAAAAAAATAGAGGATACAGAAAATCAGCCTCCGATAATCGTCCAGGTCAACAATCAGTCAAGCCCTAACTTAAAGGCTAGTAAGAGCAAGAAACTTAACTTGACGCTGATGTATTTAGGTTCAGACTCTTTAAATATTAGCTGCATAAATGATCCAAAATACTTAAGTTAACTGGAATATTCATAACTGGTTTACAGTTACATTTATAGTAGTGTGGAAATGAGAAGCCGTCCAAGTTTTTTTCCTCCAGTGATCATAAAGTCAGCCTCACACTGTGTCCTCAGAGAGCAGCCAAACATGACTCATCAACATCTGGTTCTCTCTGCAGCAGTTTCATAAAAACTCACTGGTTCTTTCCTGATCGATTGCACTTTGTTTGCATGTTTGTTTCCTTGTTGTTTGGTTTTTAAGGAGACGTGGTACTGGGACAGCAGCAATGTGACCGACATGGTGATGAGCGGGGTGAAGTGCATGGGGAACGAGATGTCTCTGAGTCAGTGTCAGCACCACAAGACGCTCAGCTGCCAGAAGTCTGCGGCAAAGTTTGCAGCAGGAGTCATCTGTTCTGACAGTGAGTGACGGCGGCAGAGACTGACCAACGCCACACTTTGAGATTTTAAAACACGTCTTGTTGGGTTTTCTTCTCTGATTATGGATTGACTTGAAATGATCTCACTTTTACTTTTTAAATACTGTGTAAAAAGTAAGGTTGTCAAAAGGTTGTTATGTCCTGTCTAGGGGAGGTTCAGACACATCATGCAAAAAGACCCAAATTGGGGGGCGCTGGTAGCCTAGGGGTTTATTGCATGCACCCAAATGAACGCAGGTATTAGTGCAGACTGCAGACACATCCTGTTTCATTTTCATGATTGGATCCACACATTTTGTGTAGAATATCAGAATCAGAATCAGAATCAGAATCTGGGTTTATTGCCAAGTACATTTACACATACAAGGAATTTGACTTGGTGTATTGGTGCTAAACAATTAACAATGAAATAAAGCAGAACTAGCAACAACTTAAATAACACAGAATAAGAAGATATTACAATATATAAAATAGAATTTAAAAATGTCAAATATAAAAAATAAAAATATGAATCCTCAAGCAGGCAGCCCGGGTTCTAAACCGACCTGTGGCTCCTTTCCTGGATGTCATTCCCCACTCTCTCTCTCTCCCTGATTTCTGACTCCATCCTGTTTCTAAATAAAGTCCTCCTTTTGTTTTATCAGAGCCTCCCCTGAGGTCTTTGGCGCCCCCCCTAGGTTGATAACCAACGTGTTAAGATCTGACTGGTTCTTGCAGGCTGAGCAGCCTTATGTTTAATGACATAAAACATAATCCTCCTTTAATCCCGTTGCTCCCAGCGGCCTCTGACCTGGTCCTGAACGCCCCTCTGGTCCAGCAGACGGTTTACATCGAAGACCGTCCTCTGCACATGCTCTACTGCGCCGCCGAGGAGGACTGTCTGTCAAAATCTGCAGCCAAAGCCAACTGGCCCTACGGACACCGACGCCTGCTCCGCTTCTCCTCGCAGATCCACAACATCGGCCGCGCCGACTTCAAACCCAAGGCCGGGCGCCACTCGTGGATCTGGCACGCCTGTCACGGGTAACTTTGTCTAAAGTCTAAAGTTTGAGTACGTCGTCGTTCACCAGAGGAGACTCATAATGACAACATGTTCTCTGTGTTCTGCAGACACTACCACAGCATGGATATTTTTACACACTATGATCTGCTGAACTCAAACGGTACCAAAGTGGCAGAAGGACACAAAGCCAGTTTCTGTCTGGAGGACACAGACTGTCAAGAGGGTGAGTCTGGGACTTCACCGTAAGTCTGTTAGCTCTTTTAGGAACAGATTGGATTGAGATGACAAATCTTTACTGTCCTCCAGGAGCAATTTGGTTTGCAGCAGAAGTCCACACAGGCAACACATTAAGAAACACACACAGACATAAAAACATCTAAGAGACGACCCCACGGCTGTCATCATGATAGACTGAGTGAGACATGAGACATTTAGTCCAACAGTCCATAATATAAGAATAAAGGCAACAATGCCAACAGCTTGATCGGGTAAATGACCTGAGATTCTACAATTCACTCAGCAGACTCTTTTCTCCAAAGTGACGTACATCAGAGAGTAAGAAAACACAAGCAAGGAAAAAAAAGGGAACAATGTCAGTAAGAGCAAACGATCAGCTTTGAGTCTGATTGGACACACAGGTGCTGACAGGAAGTGACCAGAGGCAAAGCACAACATTGAGGGCAGTTCTTGAGAGCTCTAATCAGTATAGAAACCATCTTATAAGTCGTCGTTATCAAACAAAAACCATCGTCATTACCATCATCATCATCAATAATATGGAGACCATCATCATTAAGTTAGTAGGTATTCATAAAGAGCTGGGTCTTTAGCTTTTTCTTAAAGGTGCAGAGGGACTCTGCAGATCACATGGAGTTTGGAAGTTCATTCCACCACCGGGGGGCGACAGAGGAGAAGAGTCTAGTCAGAGACTTAGGACCCTGTTGTGAAGGTTGGATCAGACGCCTTTCATTGGCAGAGCGTAGTGGGCAGGAGGGAGTGTAGACCTGGATCAGAGAGTTAAAGTAAGGAGGAACCTGTGTTACTGCCAGGTCTGCCTTAGTGTCTCCTCTCTTAGACGTCTCTCCTTCAATATGAAATGTCACCTCTGTAGCGCCATCAGAGGAGGAAACAGAGTCGAAAAGAACGTGCATAAAACCTTCTTTAAAACCAAAGTAGAACCCATATCCATCATCAGGTTCCTCATTATAGTTCAGTGTGAATCTTTCCCCCCTCAGGTGTTTCTAAGCGGTACGAGTGTGCAAACTTTGGCGATCAGGGAATCACCGTGGGCTGCTGGGATTTATACCGCCACGACATCGACTGCCAGTGGATCGACATCACCGACGTCAGACCTGGAAACTACATCCTGCAGGTGAGCGATAAGCACCTCTTAATACACCCATTACACCACTGGTTTATATTTTATATCCGTCTTTTCTAACCTTTCTCACATCTTCAGATCGTGATTAATCCAAATCAAGAGGTGGCCGAGAGCGACTTCACCAACAACGGCATGAAATGCAACTGCAAATACGACGGCCATCGAATCTGGCTGCATAACTGCCACGTCGGTGAGTTTCATATCAAACAGAAACACTGAATCTTCCAGATGTAAATGTGACATCGAGCTCATTCTGACGACTTTCACAGGCGATGCGTTCAGCGAGGAGGCGGAGAGGAGGTTTGAAAAATACCCCGGACAGCTGAACAATCAGGTTTCTTAATCCACGATCAAAACCGACCACAAAGTGAGACCGACATCAGGTGGTTAAAATAAATAAAAAACAACCTCACATGCCTTTAAAAAACAACACTTTACTTCATGTTTCATGAAGACACCATCAGCAGTGTTCTGGCGGTGAGAGTGTCGTATGTCTGACTTATTATACTTGAATATTCAAGTGCTTATTTCTTAAATTTTTTAGTCGAATGTGAGCTTTATGTTTATCACAAGAATCTATGAAGCCAGTTGTACAGCCTTCTGTTGAATGTTCTTTTTGTAGCTATGAATGAGGTTTATTATTTTTTATAACCATGTGTGTTTTTTTTACATTTTTAAAAACCTGAGGCATGAACGGGAACACATGCAGCTCTGTGGAAAGTTTCACTGGTCTAACTGGTTCATACTGGGAGTCACAGATAGATACACTGTCCTGATTCCAAACGACCGCCGAGCTGAGAAACATCACTCTGGATTGGACCCGCTTCCAAGTCCTAACACGCCCGCCTCCCCACACAGCTCCTTTGGTGAATGTATTTATTGCTAAAAATGAAGGAAGGTGTCTGAGAAACAAACCTCGTTCAGTTTGCTTCATGGTTTTAAAATCCTGTTTGAAGCCGCCTGTAGCTTCAGTCTGCGTCATGTGTAGTCGTTTGTAACGCCATGTAGGATCTGACTCAAAAAACAAAAAAACTACAATAACCTTCAAGAGTTGCCGTACGTTCATGTATGCTGATGTACTCTCACATGCTGCACCCAATAAAAGGAGAGGAATAAAAGCTGTGTGTGTGTGTGTGTGTGTGTGTGTCTACATTTAATCAACCGTGCAGCAATTTTAGAGATTCTGGTGATTCTGAAGCTCAAAAAACAGAAAAACAGATCATTCTGGGGGCGCCGGTCGTCGGGGGGTAAGAGCGTGCACCCAGTGGCAATTCTAGAGTCCCAGGCAAAAATCAAGTGGGGGGAGGGGGCTGCAACCAGCGTTCAGAGGCACAGCAATGAGTGCTGTCAGATGGGGACCCCTTAGGGAGGTTTCCGACCGTCATTGCAAAATTTGCACATCTTCGACCGCTGCTCAGGAGCCCCAATCGGTTGCCCGTTGACAAACAGCGCCTCTGTGTGCGCCCCATGTAGAGAGGCTATAGTCCTCCAAGCCAGCAGCCGGGGTTTGAATCCAATCTCTCTCTCTCTCTCTCTCGCTCTCTCTCCCTCTCTCCCTCTCTCCTTTCTCTCTCTCTCTCTCTCTCTCTCTCTCTCTCTCTCTCTCTCTCTCTCTCTCTCTCTCTCTCTCTCTCTCTCTCTCTCTCTCTCTCTCTCTCTCTCTCTCTCTCTCTCTCTTTCTCTCTCTCTCTCTCTCTCTCTCTCTCTCTCTCTCTCCCTCTCTCTCTCTCTGTCTCTCTCTCTCTCTCCCATTTCTGACTCTCTCCCATGAAGGCTTAAAAATGCCAAAAATAAATCTTGAAAAAAGAGAGCTCAGTCTTGTTTACATGACGCTATGGAGGAACTAAAAGTCAACATCACATGACTCTTAAATAAGTGTTGAACTGCTGGTGATACTGCCTTCAGAGGACAGCTGTCTGTCTCGTTACTTCCTCAGATCCTGACCTCTTCTACGGTGTTTGAGCAATCCCATCAACCTCCCCGAGTGATCGCATTAACTGTGTGCACCGCATTACAAACTACTTAACCCTGCAGGCAGCCAAAACATGCTACAGAGGGTTCACACGGTGTTCAAACACTCAGCTTGATGCCTGACATAATAAAAATATTCCACTTCAGTGTTTGTGAACATATATGTGGGTAACCTGAGAGTCTACTGACCCACAACATGTGAAGTAAACCATCCAGTCCTTTGTTTGTGGTCTGCATAAGTCTTACAACACAGAGAAAAATGCTCTGTTTCAAATGTGCTCTCCTTGTGATGTCACAGTGGGATTCTGGTTAAAAAAAATCTCCTCCTCTCCCCTGGTATCTCCACCCATGGACTCCACCCCCAGACTAGAACAAAACTTCTGCACAGGTCCTCCATTTTATTCTCTCTACAGAGGAGTGATGTCTACTGGGAAAACTCAGGGGGGGGGGGGGGTTATTACATTTAAAGAGACACACACACCAAAACGGAGCGTTCTGAGAGAGCTGGTTTCTACAGGGTCACAAACCTCCTCTGGTGCTTGATTCATGTTATATTTTGACCAAAGCACAGCACAGATGTTTCATTTAGACCACAGGGGACTGTTTGAAAAGGTGGAGGAGGGGGATGATATGTACACTTTAAAGTATTTCATACATTTCAGTCTGAGGTAGTAGCTTTGATATCATCCCTCTTTAAACTCTTTGTTTATCCACCTTCAGTCTAAACCTGCAGGTTGCCTGATTGTCTCTTCAGGTCTTCACCTCCGAGCTCCGTCCTCACACACGAGGATTAACCCGGTTCAGCCGCACATTGGTTCACATGAGATGCTAAACAACAATGACAACAGTGAGGAGAGGAGGTTGAAAAACATTAATAAAGTTGCCAGTAAGATCTGTCTCTCACCTTCAGTCAAAGAGCTGCAGCTAAAGCTCGAGACATCTGACAGAGTCCACCTCCTCTGATTGGTCAGTTTGAGCTTCTCACCTCAGACAGCAGACAGATCACCTAAAGCAAAGTCCAACATGTCAACAAATTATTTTATAACTCAGGCCGTCAGACGACTGAACTCCAAAGACGACTGATACATTTTATTTTGTTTAAATTATGGTTTTATGGACGTTTGTATACATCCTCAGTTTCCTGTAAAATACTGTTTACAGTATTTATGTTTATTGTGTAATCACCCGAGATGATTTATATTCTGGGTGCCATGAAATTTATGGGGGGCCGGATTTGGCCTAAGGGCCGCCAGTTGATGACTGCTGCCTTGAAGGTCAGGTTGTCCTCTGGTGTCAGGTGTCTTTACAAAGAACAGAACTTAGAATTCATGTCCTCTAAATATTTCTAATTCAACTCCAGTATTTATGTGTTGTTCACAGTGTCTGAGTCTTTGTGCATGTGTTTTCTGTTTGTGTTTCTTTGTTTCCACTTTGCTGCATTTCCCCCCAGGGACAGTAACGTTGAAGTTGAAGGTGTGCATGGCGCCCCCTAGTGGGTGAAAGCTTAAAGTGCAGGATTAAAAAAAGGTGAAAAATATATCTATCCAACTCCAAAACAAAACAACACTTACTGATAAAATGTCTCTTATTTAAGATGTTTACTTCCTCAGTCATAGTTTTTTACTTTACTCCATAAAATCAAATCTTTCCTGAAGAATGTCTGGAACCAAAACGTCATAAAAGTCAGACTCTCCTACGCTGCTGCTGTAGGGAAACATTTTCAAAATCAGACAGTTTAAGGGGAAAATACCAAATGTGTTTCAGCCTTGTGGTTTTATTTTTATGTTTAATCAACAAGATGATTTATATTCAGGGGGCCGGATAGGAACCTTTCATGGGCCGTCAGCTGAAGGTCAGGTTGTCCTCTGAGCTCGGGTGTCTTTGACCTCCTCTTACATATCTCTACTTTACGTTACCAGACTGAGAACATAAAGAGAAGAATCGACTTCTACAAAATATACTGAGTCACAGCGCCGTAAGCCCACACAACTCACCACGATTGTTTTAATGTTTTACTTTTTTTCTTACAACTAATCCGTTCACACATCCCAAAACGATGCCAAAAAAAAGAGTCATTCAGGTTGTTTTGCTCTGACTGAATTATTGATTTTCATCCTGTGATGTTCAAAAAAGATTCAGAATCGTTGAAGAGGAACTGTGATATCATGAGTTTACTTCACATTACAAACAACAGGAAGACAGATATGATCAAATGGACACGTTAAGGTTCAGGTTCAGAACTCAAATGAGACGGAGTATGACGAGAAACAAGATAAAAAAAGCAGCTCAGTTCCAGCAGACACAAAGTCTCAGACATCTTTTCCTGTCAGTTTGACGACGCTCCTCTTCCAGGTCGGCTCAGACTGACACACAGAGCGCTGTTTGTCCACCTCTCTCTCTCTCTCTCTCTCTCTCTCTCTCTCGGGGATGACACTACAGGTGAGTCTTGTGTGTTTCCTCGTTTCACTGCTGCACCGTCTGTTTGACGACCCTCCCTTGTTTATTGATGGCAAAGTTGTAATTCTTGGGATTGTCCAGAGCTTCTTCTATTCGCTGGTCCAAGTTCTCCAAGGTGATGAAGTTCTTTGCATCCTCCTGGAAGAAAAGAAAAAAAGTTATTATGAAGCCAAAACTGGAGGACACCGGCCGCGGCGGGTATTTTAGTAAACATCGCTTTTTCTGTGCGTTTTGGCCTTTCTAACTCATTTCGGCCGCTTGTACCCGCCGCCAGTCAGTCACTCCCCAAAGCTCATGACCACAGGTGAGGGTTAGAACAAAGATCAACCGTTTTTATCTTGAATTAAAAGTTTTCAAAATGCAGAAAAATATCTTCAAAAACTAGAAAAACGTGCACAAGTTGAATAAAGCATTGAATAAGTTCATGGGTAGAAGAAGAGACAGTGAAGTCATACCTGTAACTGTAAAATTTCTCTCTCTCTTTGTGTGATCAGTTCTTGTTGTTCTTGTTCTCGCTGAATGTCAGCTTCGACCCACTTACGCTCAGCTTCCTCCTTCTCCTTCTGGAGCCGCAGCATCCTGAAAGAAACAGCAGAGAGAGAGAGGGTGAGATCCAGGTCCAGGATTCTCCTTTATCACTCACACACAGGGAGTTTCTTCTTCATGTTTCTGTTTTTCTTCTCCACCTGAGTTTGAGCAGGCGTTGGTTCTCCTGGTCGTTCCAGGCCATGAGGGCGCGATGCTCCTCCGCCTCCTGCTTCGCTCTCTCCTCAGCCATGGACCCGGTCTCCTCCTGGTATTTCTTCCTGAGCACCTCCTCCTTAAATTCCAGACTGACACACACAAACAACAGATCAAATAATTACTCCAAATCACTTCAACTCTTTCTTGTCTCCTTTTGTTTTTATCATCCATCTTTATTTTATTTGTGTTTTATAGAATTCATATTGCTGTGCATTAGTCTCTAAATTAATTCAATTCAAAAAACGTTATTTGTCCCCACGGGGGCAATTTAAAAACACACAGAGCAGTGAATTAACAACAGTGCAGGTAGACGAAACATTTTAAACCTAAAATAGAAAGTCTCAATTTAAATACAACTAAAGCTTAAACTTAACTTAAAATACAAAATATAAAAAGAGTAGATATAAGTGGACAGTGATCAGACTGACAGATGTAAACAGAACTATGTGCAGTAAAGAAATATATATATATTTATATATAATCACTTTTTCCCTCCTCTGTAAATCACTTGAATTTGTCTGACAGATGCTGTGTGAATAAAGTTGACTGAGTGATTGATTTGATGTACAGAAAGTAAAAAAAGTCACTAGGGGGTAGGATTAAATAAGTTTTATACTTCTTCCTACTCCTTTTCAGGCATATCAAATGGATTTATGTAATTTGCTTTTTTGTGAAATAATTTGAACATTGTTTTTAGTATTTTCGTGTTTTTCATTTTGTTTTGTATTTTTGAAATGTTTGAAATAAATTCAATCAATCAATCAAAACCTGCAGTTTTAACAGTTTGGGGCGCAGGAAGAGAAAAGGGACACATTTTAATCCGGTCACAGAATTTTCCATAACACCAGGTGACACATTTCAGTAACTGGTGATTAACGTACCGAAGCGCCCTCATGATCAGCTGGTACTCCGAAAACCTCTCCCTGAGGACGACCATCTCCACCGGGTCG